TGTGGACAGTGGGACATACTCAGATCAGAGTGTGAGAATTCTGAAACGCTGAAGAGGGTGGTTTAAGTGGGAGAGGAACAAAAGGAGGAGAGGCTCCTACAGCATCCAGACTGAGGAACATGAAGGTTTCCAGCAGTGGAGGTGGGACAGGAGACAGCTAACTGACAGAATGGTTAATTCGCAATGACCAACTGGATGTGTAAGGTGATGGAGAGGGGGAAATCAAAACGAGAACTCGGAAGTGATGAGTACTTGTCAAATTGAAGTGTTTGTGTTGAATGGATTCTGGGAGAAGTATCCAGCAAATACGGAAGTGACGAGTACTTGTCAAATTGAAGTGTTTGTGTTGAATGGATTCTGGGAGAAGTATCCAGCAAATACTAAGAAATAGGCATCGCAGAGGTCTGAGTTAGAAATGCAGTGAGGAAGTGAGTGAGACGCAGCCTGAAGAACCCAGGGAAGGCAGAGGGGGAGGGGAGGTGGGCTAGGGGAAAAAATAAAGGCAAGAATCCAATGGGCTATAAGGAAAAAGTCCTGAGCTGTCCTCTGCCTTTCCCCATTGGCATAAATGTTTCCCCAAAGTTATGCTATTACAATGGGAATCAGAGAGCTGCTTCATTTGCAGTAAACCTAGCAAATGAGAGATGAAGGACCAATTCTGCAATTTTTTCTTGAAAGTCAATATTTCTAGATATGGTACATCACCATACGAAAGGTATCAATATCTTTAAGAAGATATTCTCCATTCCTTTAAAAAAATAAGTAAGCTATAATAATAAAAGTGTAATATGCTAATTAGACCACACATCCTTCCAGACGACCTTCCAGATGAAGCTGGGGCTGCAAGGGAAGCCCGGGTCCTGGGTGCTTGCTGGTAGCTGGAGGGAAACCCTGGTCCCGGGTGCCAGAGGGAAGCCGGTGCCAGCAGTTGGGGGAAGGAAGGCCTACTCTTACATGAATTTCGTGCATTGAGCCTCTAGTTAACTATAAAAAGAAAATAAGAATAAAAGAAAATTGTATAAATATTTTCTACTAATATCCCATGTGATATGGTAGAGTGGGTAAAGGAAGCTATAAAATAGGAGTCAAAGGACCACTCACTTCTAAAAGCCCTCCATCAGCTTCTCACCAACAGAGAGAAAACACCACGGTCTTTACCATGTCTTCCATGCCCTTATAGATCTTTCTTCTGCAATTAACAAATTTACTTCTTGTCTTTCTCACTGGAATTTGAATTCCCTGCCTTAGGGGCTTCTTTCCAGCATCTAGATCAGCACCTGATATACCACAGGGCTCAGGAAAGGCTTGCTGGATGAAACCCAGAGTCAATCTGAGCCTCCTGGTTCTGTCAAGTGGGGACAGTAATCCACACCTACTCTGTCCACTCTTCAATAAAATGAAATTTGCTAAAGCACTTTATAATGATGTTTCCGGTCACAGAAGAAAGCTGTGGAAGCAAATATACATACAAAGGCATGAACTGTCAATGACAGCCCAGAGCATAAGTACTTAGTTCATACTTGCTGGTTCTATTTTTATTTATAATAGAAAACATGCTTGAGAAATATTTATCCAACTATGCAATATCCAAATACCTGGAAGAATCTACCCAGGATCATACTCCTTAGGAGACAAAAAACAAACAAACAAAACAAAAAAAAACCCTGAAGGTTGGGTTAGCTGACTTGTAAGCCACAGAAGCAATTTAGTTTCTGAAAAAGAATTTTAATTAGAAAAGATCAAAACTAAATTCAGTGTTTGGGGCTGAATGATGTCTCCCCCAATTCTTTTAAGTCCTGACCCTGAGTCCCTCAGAATGTGACTGTATTTCAAAACAGGGTCTTTAAAGAGTTAACAGCTAAAGTGAAGTCTCTAGGGTGGGCTTAATCCAATGGATGCCTGGCTTCTTTATAAGAAGAAGAAATGAAAATGCATGAAATCAGAGGAATTAGGACAGAGGAAAGACCATGTGAAGACGTACGTAGGGAGAGGGCGGCCATCTCCAAGCCAAGGAGAGAGGCTTCATGAGAGACAAGCCTGTTGACACCTTGATCTCAGGCTTCCAGCCTCCAGAACTGTGAGAAAATAAATTCTGCTGTTGGACCCACACAATCTGTGGTACTCTGTTCCGACAGCCCTGGAAAACTAATACACTTAGTCGTTTAGAAACCAAGAAAAAAATCACTGGAAACGAGTTTCATAAAAATGGGGTAAGCAAACTAAAATAATCCTTAGAAATATTTGATTTCATTTTTATCCTTTTTATTGAAACATTAACTTTAATTAGAGTTGTCTAGGTATAAATTCGAGTTGTCAAAGTCTTAAATCAATCCAGTTTCCTCACCACACCTCCCAGTCTCGCTGAGAGCCTGCCCTGCACAGAATGGTCACAGAAGGTGTATCCAGTGCAGAGCGGAGAACGAGGTGTTCAGTTCCTTTCATGTTTAGGTCCATCACAAACTCTGATTGTTTTTAACTAATAGGAACACAAGTTTAAAAGGCAACCACATCACAGCAACTGACATAGCCTATCTCAACTTCTCAGGAAAATATCCATTAAAATATAAAATAAACATGCAAACATGCAAGTTCCCTATTCTACACTCTAGGTGGAATTTCTACTATGTCTGATACCATTGGTCTTGTCGTGGGAAGATATACTGGAGTCTAGAAGGTGTGGCCTCTAAAACACCAAAGGTAGGAACAGAGGCAGAAAGATCCTTTCTTTATGAATTTGGATGCCAGGGTCAGAAATACAGTTAACGCACATGCCAACCCATGAGTCCCATCCCTCCCAGGTTAAGCTCAGGTTGATCCTCATCTGTATCTTTGTTTTCCCATTTCAAGTTTTAATTCTGGTAAAATTTACCATCTTAACTATTTTTTAAAATATATTTTTTATTAATTTCAGAGAGGAAGGGAAGAGGGAGAGAGAGACAGAAACATCAATGATGAGAGGGAATCATTGATTGCTGCCTCCTGCACGCCCCCTACTGGGGATCGAGCCCGCAATCTGGGCATGTGCCCTTGACAGGAATGGAAGCCGGGACCCTTCAGTCTGCAGGCTGATGCTCTATCCACTGAGCCAAACTGGCTAGGGCCATCTTAACTATTTTTAAGTGAACAGATCAACAGTTTTAAATGTATTCACATCGTTGAGCAACCAATCTCTAAAAGTTCTCATTTTGTAAAACTGAAACTCTACACCCATTGAGCAGTAACTGCCCATTTCCCCCCACAGTCTTGCTGACTTTTGCAACTTCCACATTCCTGGCTAATCCTCTGAAGTCATGGACGAACCTCTTGAGTGTCCTCATCATACCTTGGTGACATCACCCTGAGCCCAGGAGGGCATCTTGGGTGAGGGGTGGGGGTGGGGGAAACTGAGTCACTGGTCGTCCATGATTTCTTATTGCTCCTGCAGGACACTGGCAGTGTGTGCTTACTGGAAGGCCCACCTTCTCACTGCACCAGATCACAAAGGATTTCTGTCTGCAGCCGACGACACTCCTACCAAGGCTATGAACCTGTCCTCAATGGCCTTGAGGCCCGGCACTGACTTGGCTTACTTATCGGTGCAAGTCCTTCCAGGCATCTGTTTCCAGAATAGGGAGTTTTCGTCCATGTTGAAGATTTGCTCTGGCAGGTAATTTCCCTCCACAGTCAGCTTAGCTAGAGTTGCCAAAAATCCTTCAGTTGCCTTCTCACCAGCACCTGCTGACTCAGCACTCACTTTCACATTACGTAATGAATAACAGCTCTTGAACTGTGTAAACCGCCCAGAGTAGCAGTAAACTCATCATCCCAACCAGGTCCAGCCTCATCATTCAACACTGCAGACAAACTTTCCGCTTTGGCCGTGACGGTCCCGGTGCTGAGAGGGACACGCTGCTGTCTGGCCCTCCCTCCAGGGCATTAGAAGTTTCCCCATGTCTGACACAGGCCCTTCTCTTATTTTGGTTAAGTTTCATTGCCTTCAATGAAGCAGATGCTTTAATAGGTCCTGTCACTTTGTTCTGTTCTGAGAGATCGTAGCATTGGTGGCACTGGAAATGCCTGACTGGAGAGCAATAGCCACCACTGGTTTTCTACCCCTTCATAGTCCTCACTCACTTTAATTTTGACTTCACATGGCCTCTTACTGGCAACATTAGCAATTTGTATGCTTAGGGGCACGATGAATGAAACAACATGAGATTAAATCAAGCACAAGAGAAAATGATTTAACCAGGAGATATGTAATAAACATGGGATGTATGAGGCTGTTTCGAGCATAGCACAGCACAGTTTCACAGCAACCTTTTTTTTTAATGTAAGTACAAAGAGTACACTCTAAAGTAATAATAAAAAGTACACTATAGTATATGCCTAAACCCATAACATGGTCAGTTGTTGTCATTATCAAGCATTACGGACCGGAACTTATAAGCAATATACTTTTATATGATTGACAGTGCAGTACATTTTTAAAAATATCACCACAAACATGAGAGCAAGGCACTGAGTGGGGACATTATGACACCATTATGACAACAGCATTAGGCAATAGAATATTTTCAGCTTGATTACAATCTTATGGGACCGCCATTGTATATGACTAAACATCATTAGGCGACACGTGATTATATAATTTCAGGACATTTATGAGTCTCTTAAGTCCATCTGTGAATACTGCAAACTTTGTAAGGCCGGAAATTTGGTTTCAAAATTCTAATAAATGGTAAATACCAGGAAATACTATCCAAACGCAAAGGACCACCTAGTTTGAATATGTCTGTATGAATCCAGTATCCCTTGAATTCCATCATTAGCTCGCTCTGTGAACATTTTTAGGTCCAGGGTCACAAACAATGAAAGGCATTGCTTGTCTTTTGCACAACCTCCTGAAGACGACACACTTAATGCTGAGTGAGGCGAGGCATGTGGAGGAAATGCAGGAGACATAAATAAAAATTTAGTATAAAGATCAGTAAATATGACAAGGATGGGATTTGACTCACAAAATCTGTTTCAAGTTTTCCCATTTCTTGCTTGTAGCTTCTCATTCTGTTGCTGTACATTCCTCGACTTTGGGGTGGTATCTCTCGGACTTCCAAATCCATCTGCTCAAGCTGACAGGGTGAGAGCAAAACATCATTGAAACCATATGCTTACTCTTTATTTGACCAGATGTTTAGAGCGGAAAGGGTTTCATTTCAATTCTTCACTTTACGGTTGAGGAACCAGGTCCAGGGAGTTACCCGCCTGGGATCAAATAATATTGGGACTACGTTTGTGCTTCATTTTTGTTTAGGTGAACAAATAGTTACTGAGTGCTTGCCAAGTGAGACATAGAGCACCAAAGTACTTACTTTCTCAGGAATTTCTATTAAAACACATGCATTAATCCAAACATCCTTAATAATAATGATTTTAATATGCTTGAAGTATTCCATCATTCAGTCCAACCTGGTCAGGTGTTTTGACCCCAAACCACCAGGACTATGGGAAATAAACCAAACCATTATTTCCAACCTTAAGCACACAGTGTCTGCCCAGCCTTACTCATTTGGTAAAAATTCTTCCAGAAAGTCTTTTCTGATTAGGAAAATCACATACCAACCAACATGTGATCTCAACCTGCAGCTTCACTTCTTACACTTTATTACCATGTTGATTTGGAGTTAAATGGATACAGTAAAATGTTAAATTATACAAAGCTCACTGAAATCACAGCAGGGCACTTTTTAACAACCTGTCATCATATAACACTTCAAATACAACACATGAGCATCTAATGGGAGGCAGTACAGAAATATTATGATGGTTAAGAAGACAGGCTTTTAAGTCAGATGCCTGCCTTCACACTCATTTAGGACCACAATGCAGTAACAAGTTAAATCATACTTGCAATATCTGGCTTTTAAAACAAAAAATTGGGATACAATATTTTTCCCCCTGTGAATATATTTATATAAAAAAAAATAGTGGATGACTTAGAGCACTGGGTTTAGCATATACTAGTATAGATACAAATTCTTACTCCACCACTTATTGGGTGTGGACCTCAGGGCAGCTACTTAATCTTTCTAAGCCTCAGTATTGCCATCTATAAAATGGGGGGAGGTGCGTAATCACGGTGTTGAAAATCACTCCTCCATGGTTTTCTCAGACTCCTGTAAGTCTTGCTGGGCATGCCAGGAATGCAAGGCCCTAACCACTCTTTTCCCTGGACATTTCTCAAGGTAGTATTTGCAGGGAGCAATGTTGGGAGAGGAACTTCTGGGACAAAGGGAAGGCTTGCTTCCAGGCTGCTGTAAAGCAGTATGCTTCCCAGGCTCCATGTTCCTCTCCTGTAAGACATTCTACTGTATGGGTGGGCATACATCTGGGCCACCTCTGCCACTCCTGTGGGAATTGGGGCTCAGGGAACTCATACAAGGATGCTCAAACTCTGGCAGCTGCTTTTGCTGTGAGTGATAAAAGTCTTTTGTCTCTGACCTAAGAATCTAAATGTCTTCTATTAGCATCCATGAAATTGTAGCAAGCTTGCTTATTAGTCAGCAAATAGGAAAAAATCTCAGATCCTTAACAGTTTTTGACAAATAGCACTTGCTTCCCAGAGTTTTTATAAAAATTAATATTATTAATATTATAAAACAAGTAATATGCTTATCCCAGTGTCTGGTACCCAGTATGCCTTTCACAAGCATTGGCTATTGACAGCTATTATAAAATGTATTATTAAGGAATAAAAATTAGAGCTGGATATTTAATGAATCACCTTTATTAAGAAAAACAAAATCCCAAGGAACTATTAAATTCTCTTCAATTTGAAAACGAATGAACTGTAAATTATAAAATGCTAATTAGTCATTTTACATTTCTGCAATAAAACAGGCTAGTGAAAGGCATCAGCTTAAATGACTCTGGTCGTGTGTTAAAATATATTACCGAGTCTGTACATACCAGTTCTTTTGCTTCTTCAAGCTGTTTCTCCACATTTGCAACCATCTGTTTCTTCTCATCTGAAACAGACAATAATATCAGAAAATTGCTAAGAAAATAAATTTAATATTTAAAAACTTCTGTTTTTCTATACCTTTTTCCTTTCTGATCAATCAGACTGAGAATTACCATACCAGGCAACTGGCCACATCATTCTTTGGTGGGTTAGAAACCACTCTAAAGCCACTAATTCTAGGCTATCTAGAAATACATAATCTTACGGAGTACCTAGTGATTGAGGGATGCCATAACAGTTTAAAAAGAAACCAAAAATTATTTTGTTCTTTAGAAGAGACTGTGTCAACAGCAGCAGTTTTAGTGGTGGCGTGAAGAATCTGCAAACTCTTCACTATAGTGAAATGGGAATAACTGATTTCAGATACAATTTAAAAGTCACAGGCAAAAGCAATTCCTAAAACTGGACAAGATCTTAACAATCCCCAGTGTGGGGTGTGCAGGAGGCAGCCGATCAATGATTCTCTCTCAGCATTGATGTTTCTATCTTTCTGTCCCTCTCCCTCTGAAATCAATAAAACAAACAAACAAACAAAAATATATATAAATAATAAAAATTAAAAATAAAATAAAAAAACTGTACTTCCGTTAACACTAAAATTGGGTGTAACGGAGGAAATATTTGAAGTTAGGGCTACTTGATTCCAAACCCAAAGTCACTAACTACCCACTGATTATGGAATATTGGGTAAGAACAATCTGTACTCTCAAAAATGGAGATGAAAAATGCCCGCTGCGTTATCTTTTGTTTAAACAAGCTGATACAAGTGAAATTACTTTTAAACTGTGAAGTGCTAAGTCTCTGTATGTGGTTTATTCAAACTCTACCAAAACCAAGTTATAACGGAACTGGAATCCCCTTTTTCAGGAGAGACACATCCTGGCAGGTATTTTCAGAAAATGCCCTCACCCCACCCCCATTCCAAACCATTTGTCCTAAGACTGCACTTACGTTTTGTGCTAACTAAATTTATTGAACATGTATCGTTTTTGTCTGCCTAGCACCCTTCTTTTCTCAGGCTATAACCCCTACTCTTTTTAAAAAATATATACTTTATTGATTTTTTACAGAGAGGAAGGGAGAGGGATAGAGAGTTAGAAACATCGATGGGAGAGAAACATCGATCAGCTGCCTCCTGCACACCTCCTACTGGGGATGTGCCTGCAACCAAGGTACATGCCCTTGACCGGAATCGAACCTGGGACCTTTCAGTCCACAGGCTGACGCTCTATCCACTGAGCCAAACCAGCTAGGGCAACCCCCACTCTTTCGAGGCTCTCCACCACCACACAGGTCAGTGGGAGATGCTGTCTCTTCCTATGACCCTGCCTCTTCAGTCACAGTGACTTGGTAAAAGATGGGCTCCTCATCCTAGCTAGACCAATCCTAGTAGCTCAATCCAAGCCGACCAAGCAAAGTGCTGGAGCCGTGGGGAAGTCTTTTCTCTCCCTTGGTAGAGTTACGAGAACAGGCGTTTAGAAGCTGTTGGCATCCACTGGCCTTGCTACAAAGAGCAAGCATCAGTGGTTGAAAATGAAGCCTACCTTTAGAAAGAAACAAAGCTGAGAGGTAGAGCGATAGGACAGAGGGGACAGACAGACAGGCACAAATGGATTAGACAGAGTTAGTTAATTAGTTTCCGGTTCCAGATAATTCTGAAATAGATTTTGCTTGACTTTTCACGGTTAAGTTCCTTGAACAAACAAGTTTCTTTTTCTTTATTTAAAGTTGGGTTTCTGTGACAAGGAGGCCGATGAATACTGACTGACTCATACAACAGGCTAGAAAAGTTGTGAAGCTGGAGATGGGTATAACACCTATTAGCTAAATAGCCCTTCAGAAGGACAGCCAACACCAAGTGGGGAGAGAGTAGCTGTCACATAGGTTTTATGCGTGCACTCCAGCCCATGCCATGGACCTCCAGGACTACCGAACACCAGTATTTCTCATTAACAAAGGAAAACAAAACAAGCAGCCCCCCTCGACCTCTAGTCCCCTTTGCTACTAACATCTCTCTCCTTCCAGCTACATTCACATTTCCCTCCCTCCTCCCCTATTCCTCCCTGTAATCCTGCCCACACCCCACCATTCTACTGAGATGACTCTCACAAGACTAATGACCTTTGTTTGCCCAAACTAATGGACATTCCTTGGTTCTATTTTTATTTAATCTTGTGGCATCTGCCATTATGCTCCTCCCATCCTGTCACTTTCTCCTCTCCTGGCCTCAGCGACACCCTGACTCTGTGACATTCCTGAACACTCAATTCTATCTCTGCGTCCTCTGATGGGCACCCTCTTCTGCAGCCCATCCTCTAACCACCCGTGTCCCTCAGGGTCTAGTCCTTGCTTTCCCCCCACCCCCCCACCCCATGACTATCATCTATGCCCCTGGCAATTTCATCTGCTCCCATTTATTCACTATCTTTTTATCTACTTATGATGCTAAGTCTTTATCATTAATCCTGATATATTTGCAGGACTCCACACCTTTAATGCCAATGCCTATGCCCACCTCCACTGTGATTACCTGGTAAATTGCTATTCAACACTCTCTTCAGAAAAATCAGTACCTCTAGGAAGCCTTTCCTAACCCAACAAAGTTAACCACTTTCAGTTACAATGTGGGTCGCGAACAATGAAAATACATCCTGCATATCAGATATTTACATTACGATTCATACCAGTAGCAAAATGACAGTTATGAAGTAGCAACAAAAATAATGTTATGGTTGGGGTCACCACCACATGAGGAGCGGTATGAAAGGGTCGCGGCATTGGGAAGGTTGAGGACCACTGGGTTACATAAAACACCTAAGCTTTTACCTAATCTTAATGACTTCTCTCTCACCTCTACCGGTCTGATTTACCTTCTACCTTGAGGCTCTCAGAAGACAGGAACTGTGTCTTCATCATCTTTATAGTCCTACAATCCAGCACGGAGTCTGGCATATAATCAGTTCTTGGAAAATGATATTAAATTGAATAAATAATGTAGGCCAGTGTGGGTCAGTGGTTGAGGGTTGACCTATGAACCAGGAGGTCACAGTTCGACTCCTGGTCAGCCGGTTCGCTCCCCACTGTGGGATGTGCAGGAGGCAGTGGATTGATGATTCTCATCATTGATGCTTCTCTCTCTCTCGCCCCCTCTCTTCCTATCTGAAATCAATAAAAACATATTTAACCATTTGTACGCCATAAGCATCTATAGATTCAAGCAGCGGAAATTTTTAAATTAAATTCAAAATATTGTGGCAGTTTACTAGTTAAAAAAAAAATTATGACTTCTTCCATACATAGCTATGTCTGATCTCCAAAAGACTCCAGGGCTTAGCATAACTAATCAGCTAGACTTGAGCATTTCCTCCTGGAAAGGACACTGTCTGGCCCCACCACTCCTCCGACTCTCTCCTTAATAGCCAGTTAAAACCCAATTCCAATTTCATACCCTAAAGCCCCTGATCAGTCGTCTCCTTTCAAGTGTAGGTGTTCATCCAGAAAGATTCATCTCACTCTAGTCTAGGCACAGACAAGAAGCAAGAATTGAGGCCCAAGGTTCCTTTAAAAGTTCAATTAATATAACAAAGTCTGGGGAGCTGAGTCCTGCCAGCTTTTGCCTTCAGCAGTAGCAATAACATCCATCACTAATGGCTAATTCAGGTATTTTCTCTAAAGGAAAAAATGTGCTAGTATATCACGTGTTTTATTTCATCTGATTTTTACAACATTGTAACTTTGAAACTAATACCCCCTTCTTCCCCAGTTTTACAGATGGAGGAAGCAGGCTTAGAAAGACTAAGCAATTTGCCAATTTACATCTGGTCAGTAGCAGAACTGGGACTCTAAACAGATCTGATGCCATGTGTGACTCTTAACCAATTTGCCATAATACCTTTCTTGGTCTTTCTGATTTACAGCCACAAAGTGAACGGTGAGGTATGCAACTAACTGCAAGAGAATATTTTATTAGGTCCTTCAGGCCTGTTGTAATGGAACCTCCACACTTATATAGGGTCCCTCTAACTTAGAATTCATCACCAGAGGGAAAAGAACTCTAAAGTTAGTATTAGTAATGGTTTCCACTCATCCATTTCCCTGGCTTTACCACAGAACACTAATCATTAAAATCAAATTTCAAATACAGTGTCATAGAGCATTACCTAAGAACGGACTGATCCATCTCGTTAGTCCAATTTATAGTTAGTTAAGATTCAAACACTTTAATGTAAGAGCAAAGTCTTTTTATTGTTGAAAACATATCACAGAGCAATCAAATTTCTGTTTTAAAATAAAGTTTTAAAATATTTAGTCTTTTCTGTTCTCTTTGGAAGTAACACTTTAATACATTGTACATGCACAGCAGAGCGGATTTAATTGCCACCAGTCCTACTCACTCAACTTCAATTTAAATACTAAGTTAATATGTTGAAGAATGAACTGCTTTGACCAAAAAGTTTGCTCCAATTTTTAACCTTCTTAACTGAAGTAAATTATAGTTCCTCTCCTCTGGGTCAACCAGCAATGATGCCCAGAGAAAGAGATTATAGTTACTTTTAATCATACTGTTTTGCCATATTAATTTCAGTTAGTTCACAGACATACATCTGAAATTCATTACTACCTAGATATACTTTCATTTTTTTCTATTTATCAATTATAAACAGATTATAAAGTGAGCAAGCACAAGTAATTATTAAGAGGGGAACCACAGCATTTTTAGGAATAACTAGTATTCAATTATTCAAGTCAGCAAGCACTCTTCCAGTGCCAGACATACAGTCTCCTTTCAATTCCAATATATCTGCTGAGTTTGGGCCTCACATTATTCAAGAGCTAAGGAGAGTCAAGGCTTTATTTCTAAGATACTTAATCCCAATGTTTCCTTCTGTGTGGTAAGAATGGTTACATTAAAACTTAAAGACAAGAAAAAATAAATTCTTGGAAATAGTTTTTACAACTTTGAACTCAGGGATGACTTTATTACTTTATAACACAGCTTCCCAGTACAAAAGCAATTCTTCCAAACAACAACAACAACAAAAAAGTGTTTCTACTGCTAAAATTATTACAATTTAAAATGAGCAAAAATCTAACTGAAACCACAAATCCTCACATTCTGAGGCTCTGGGACTGATGTCAAAGGAAGGAATCGCCAACAGCAAAGACAACAAAAATCAAGATGATCGTGGGCAGTGGAGAAAAGCAGGACTGAAGAGAAGAGTCGAGGTGATGTATCATGAAGTGGTGAGGTCATCAGCCACTTTCTCCACAAAAATCTCTGAGGCAGCGGAGCTTGGTAGTATATGCTACCTTGGGTCTCTCCTCTTGTTCCCTCACTTGGACTCAAAAACCTCTTTAGGACATCATCCATCTCCTGCAGGACTAACTGGGACTTCAGGAGATGAGTGGGGTATAAGTTCAGAGATCCTGGCTTCAAGCAAACATCCCTATTAATAGAAATAGGTGGGGGAAGAAAAACAAAGAAATAAAGGAAAATATTATTTATAAACACATAACTTTGGGGAGGGGAGGGGAAGGGAAGAGGAATAACAACTTAGGTCCAGGGGAAATTATTGCTGGCCTCAAGGACTGACTAACAAGGTGAGACAGTGAGCTTGCACACCAGTTCATGTATCAATGAACACTCCTTTTCCTACACTTTACACCCAGAGCTGAGGTAGGCCCAAGTCTAGCATCCTAATGATAGTTCAATTTCCCTAAACAACTAAGCCAAAAAGCAACAATCTTTTCTGCAAACTACCACTTCAAATTAAATCTGTATTTATAGAAAGATAAATCCTAAAACAATGTCTTACAAAAATCACAAAGTAGCCCGGCTGGGTGGCTCGGTGGTTGAGCGTTGACCTATGAACTAGAACAGGGGTCCTCAAACTTTTTAAACAGGGGGTCAGTTCACTGTCCCTCAGACTGTTGGAGGGCCGGACTATAGCTTAAAAAAAAACTATGAACAAATTCCTATGCACACTGCACATATCTTATTTTGAAGTAAAAAAACAAAACGGGAACAAATACAATATTTGTATTTGCACGTGGCCCGCGGGCTGTAGTTTGAGGACCCCTGAACTAGAAGGTCACAACTGATTCCCTCTCAGAGCACATGCCGGGTTGCAGGCTCCATGCCCAGTGTGGGGGCATGAAGGAGGCCGCTGATCAATGATTCTGTCTGTCTCATCATTGATATTTCTCTCTCTCTCTCTCTTCCTCTCTGAAATCAATTTAAAAAATCAAAAATATCACATTTATATATTTGCTTACTCAAATATCTGATCTCAGCCCCTTCTAAATAAATGCCAATGAATCAAACATACTAGTAACTCCCACTTTCACACAGTTGACAGTCTAGCATAAAAGAAAGATGTGCTAAAAACAACAACAACACAACAACAACAACAAAAAACACACAACAACACAAAAATAAAAACACGTCTGGATGGAAACTGTGGAATTTTAAACGTGAGAGAAATTGTCCTGTACCAAGTTTTTCATAACATTGGCATATGGTCCCCCCAACCCCAAGAAGGATGAGAAATAATTAATGGAGTTGGGGCTACGAAAAATACAAAAGATAGTAGCAGCTAACACCGAGGAAAGACTTTCCATATGTGAAATAATTTCCTCTTCCCAACAACCCTATGAAAGACCTACAACTCTCTCCATTTACCAAGAAGGAAAGTTGAAAGAGGTTAAGAAACTTGCCTAAATGTCAAAACTTCTAAGTAGCAGAGGTGGGATTAGGCACCATGGCTCTTAACCCTGTTTTGCTGCATATAATACTGCCGTCATCAATAACACAACAACGTCAGACCCCTCATCTGCGTACATTCATTCATTCATTTTTTAAAATATATTTTATTGATTTTTTTTACAGAGAGGGAGGGAGAGGGATAGAGAGTTACAAACATCGATGAGAGAGGAACATCGATGAGCTGCCTCCTGCACACCTCCTACTGGGGATGTGCCCGCAACCAAGGTACATGCCCTTGACTGGAATCGAACCTGGGACCTTTCAGTCCGCAGGCCAGCGCTCTATCCACTGAGCCAAACCGGTTAGGGCTATTCATTCTTTTTGAACACTCTCACATCTCTATATATTACAAACGAAAAACCAACCAAAGAAACAAAACAAAAAGTAAGACGCAGAGAAACAGTCCCAAGGGTATGCAAGTAACCAAGCGGCGGAGTCCGGGCTGGAGCCCAGAAGGGCTCTGCCTCCTGCACCCCAGAGCCCAGCTTGGACTGTCAACTACGTTACAAGCTCCGTCGCGGGGGCGCCCCAGCACCACCTCACCCCAGCCTCGCGCCTAAGAGGCTCCCTAGTGCAGACGGCGTTCCACCGCCCGCCACCCTCCGCGGGCCATCCCGGAGGACAGGGCTCTCACCAGGGGGCAGTCGGGGGACCCTGGCAATCTTGCTTGTGAGCTCTGCAGTGAGCACCGCGAAGTCCTGCTCGAAGCCTTCGAAGTCGGACGACATGGCGGCTCCGGAGCGACAGGCCAGGCCGGAGCCTAGGTCGGGGCAGGGATAGCGCGGAGCTGGGGAACACGGTGTAGGAACCCTGGGACCTGCCCTCGAGACCAGAGCGGAGAACCCGAGACAGCTCCCAGCCCGGCCGCTTCCTGGTTGTCCGCCGCAATCTCAGTCCCCCGGAAACTGGGTTGGTACGCTTTTTAGATTCCTTTCAGGCTTCAACATGAACACATGCTCTGAGGAAAAGTACTTTAATTAGTGCCTCCAGGAGGCCTCTCAAAATAGTCGTCTTCTAAGGAATCCCTGAAAGTTTTTTTGAACCCCTCCACGTTGTGGAAGCGACTCCAGCTCTCCAAGGTAGAGGTCACAGGAGCTTGCTTCCGGGGGGAAGTTCGAGGCGGCGAACTTCCCGGAAGTGGCTGTCACGGAGGCTGCGCACCGGGCCGGAGCGGGATTCCAGCGGCGAAAGCTCCGGCGGAGACCGACTCGTGGTCTCGGGTCCCGCACTCCAGCCTCTAGCAACCGGGATTTGCATTCTGCTTGTTCTGGACCGAGGTGCCCATGCTGAAGTCACTCATAAAGGAGAAAATGTGTTCCGGGTGAGCCCAGGCCGCTTCGGAACTGCGATGGCCGAGGAGGGGGCACCAAGGACCAGACTGAGGTGGGAGTCCAGGCTGGGGATGTAACCATCTTTTTGGCGGTCTCCACGCCACCCGAGTTTGACCAGAATCTCCAGTGCTTTGGGACCAGCCACGCTTCCCAGGATGTTCCTACCCTGAGTGAGGATTTCTAAGAGCTCTATCCCGTGACACGGGCGGGAAACTGAGGCACAAGGCAGCGGCATCTGTTGCGTGGAAGTCCTTATCGCCCGACACCCCAGAGCTGCTTCCCTTGGCTCACTGCGGTTCCATCAGCCATGCCCGTCTCCAAAGCCTCCCGGCTCTCGCTGCGGAGGGAACTTCCTCTTCTTTTTTCCTAAAATATCCTCATTCATGTTCTTTTTTCATGAACGCCCCCAGTCGTGATTTCACACACAGCGCTCTCTCCTCTCCTTGCATTGATCTTTGCTTTCACTCTCTCGCTTCCTTACGTTTGGCCCAAGTAGACCCTTAGGTTGGTGTTTTGGGGGCAACCACAGGCAAATAATGTGGACCATGCCTGGCTCATACTTAATTCGAGATCGGGTGAGAGGTGGTGTAGAGCTCCGTAAAGGGAGTCGAATGACTGGGTTACGCTGTTACGTTTGACCTGGATCTAATCACCGAGGCTCTCCCAGCCAACTTCTTTTCTCTAAGTAAGGAAGCTGGATTAGCTCAACTCTAAATCCCTGCTCCCCAGCTGTCAAATCTTTGTCTCCTCAAGCCATTCACTAAACGTTGGACGATCACAGTCCCCAGACAATCACGTATCCAGTTTACATGCCATTGAGATTTGAACCCTATTTTGGGTAAGATAAAAATAGATGTTTTGGTTGTTTGGTTTGTTTTGACATTTGACAGGCTATCCACGGTAGTGCACTGGTGAGATGCTTTTGTTTAGGTGGTTATGGGAGTTAAGTCTGGTGTGTAATAAAATTTTCTACTGAACTTCCTCATTTTCTTTTCTTTAGATTGGGTTTCAAACCAAGATACTGGATTCTCCCAGTTCAGATAAAGAGCTCTGAGCACGTAACAGTGAAAATGGATAGCCTGCATTCACAGCGCACAGACTGAAGACATGACACTTAAGGAACACACGTGGACTTGTGGCACATGGATAGGTGTGCACAAAAAAAGGAAATCTGTACTTCTTTAAAGATAGGAAGACATTCTTCCTCACCAACATGGGTACTTTCTGCTCAGTTATCAAGTTTGAAAATCTCCAAGAATTAAAGAGACTGTGCCACTGGGGCCCCATTATAGCCCTCGGTGTTATAGCAATATGTTCTACGATGGCCATGATTGACTCTGTGTTGTGGTATTGGCCCTTACATACAACTGGAGGAAGCGTGAATTTCATCATGTTGATAAATTGGACGGTCATGATTCTTTATAATTACTTCAATGCCATGTTTATTGGTCCTGGCTTTGTCCCTCTGGGGTGGAAACCGGTAAGAAAAAGATCCCTTTAGAATTTAGATGATGAATTCTAATGATAACCTCATGATAATTTAGTTTTTGCTTTATCTTCTAGCCAATAATATCTAACACAGACTGCTTTTTGCTGTCGTAGGGACTAAGTGCATTGCAATTACTGGTCATTTAAAGCTCAGATTATTTCATGCCTGTTTAAAAATACTGATCTAAATCAGTATTTCCCAGAGCATTTCCATTTTATACTTGCCTTGCATTGAGAAAAAAAATAAAATAAACATGGAGGGGTGGTGATGAGTCCATGGTCATAAGTTTAGGAAACAGTGCATATCACATACACTTTTCTTATTTATGATTTCACAATGTAGTTTGGTTCTATAATCTTTTTATATGTAACACATTAACATCCTCAGAACTGAGGAAAACTTTAGAAACTTTGGTTTAAATCATAAAGTTTTTAAATCATTGCAGTGAAGATTGGAAGTACAGTATGAATCAATTTATGGCTCCTTAAAATTTGTTAGAAAGTTTATGCTTATGAATTCCCGTATTCCTTGTTGAGGGACATTGCTTGGTAGCTTGGTAGAAATGCAGAATCTTGAGCTCCACCCTACTGAGTCAAAATCTGCATTTAGTGAAATCCCCAGATGATTCTAAAGTATGTTAACATTGGAGAAATACTAGTGCATTGTATTAAGTAAATAAAGAAATGGGTAAGACAATTCATGTTCTGAAAAATCTTGTAACTGAGGAGAAAAACCAAGGCACTTTAGGAAATAAACACAGAGTAGAATATGACGAGTGCTGGCGAAGTTAAAAGGAACTGTCATTTTCAGTTGGGACCTGTGGGAGGAGTGGGGATTTCCAGAGGAGATGGGTAAAAGGCATTTCAGGATTTCAGGTTGAGTGCGTATTCAGAAACAATGGACAAATTATGTCGTGCAGAGAAGGCTGAAAGAAAGGCAGATTATGGAAGGCCTCAAATACATGAGAAATTGTTAGTCCATAGGGAGTTCTTAGAGGTTTTCAAGCAGAGCTCTGGCATAATCAGAATTGTGTTATAGGATGAAGCTCCTACTCTAAATACCTGCTGAGTTGTCAGCTACCTTTTTTCCTGAACTCCTCCCATCCTACTCAGATTTTGCATAAGTGGAGCCAACTGTATTCAGTGGTGATGGACTAGGATGGCGCATAGGGAAGAGAAATTAAAAATGACTTCTGGGTAATTGGGAGAGTGATGGTGCTGTTACCAGAAATTTTATACATAAAAATATTTTAGCTCAAATAAAAGGATTGGAAATGTAAGTAAAGATTCCATTCCTCCCCCACCCCCCATGAAAGAAAATTAAACCATAGGGAAGCATTTATTCATAAGGCTAGTTATTATTTAGGACTAGAGGCCCAATGCACGAAATTCACTCAGGAGTAGGCCTTCATTCCCCCAGCTGCCAGCATCGGCTTCCCTCTGGCACCCGGGACCCGGGCTTTCCTCTGGCCACCTGCAGGCACCTGGGACCCGGGCTTCCCTCGAAGCCCCGGCTTCGTCCAGAAGGTCGTCCAGTCTAATTAGCATATTATGCTTTTGTTATTATAGATATTATTATAGATTGGTTATCTGATGTATTTTTTGTTTATGTTTTGCTGCCAAGGAAAATTCTCAGGATAGCATGTACCTCCAGTATTGTCAAGTCTGCCAAGCATACAAGGCACCACGGTCACATCACTGTCGAAAGTGTAGCAGGTACTGTCTGTCTTTGCCATTCACTTTAGGAATTGATCACCTCGACAAGTGGTCTTTTGAGTCCTAATTTTATTCTCTGCAAGATGGCTACTTTATAAACAACATTGTCAAAATACTTGTGTCCATAATCTCCATATCATTCTTAAATCATCAATTCTGATAATAAATACATCTCTTTTCTTATATGTGAAAAGACTTTTCTAGAAAATACAGATTAACTTTGCTTCTTGCCCTGCCAAGAGCATGGTTGAAAGTCATATCTGCAAATTGTTGCCATAGATCACGAATTAACTTCGAATTGTTCTGAGTCTAATTATAGAGGAGAGCTGCTTTTTTTCCTTTATTTTGACTAACTTTTACACTTTATGCAAATCTAATAAATAATCCAGGTGCCTATTATCATAGTGTTTAATATAAAAAACTTAATGAGAGGAAAACTGAGTCACTATAAAAATGTGAAATAAGCTAGAACCTTTAAAAATGAACAGCTGTATCCACTTCTTAATAAGAACTTTTGATGAGAGTGTTGAGGTTTAGGGAAACAGTGGAGGCAAAGAAAGTTGGCCTGAGGACAGGAAATTTTCTAGCAGTAAAAGGGAAGGAAGCTTGGTAAGACTTTGCTTATTGTACCACATCTTATATTTAGTAGTTGCTTGTTTAACTCAGAGGTTCCACATCTAAAGGATGAGGACAGGAAGGAAGTTACATGCGTCTGCTAGGTCCCGTCAACCCCAGTGGAGATTTGTAAGTGATTTTGTTGAGTCTCTATTGTACTTCACTTCAGTCACTGCATTTCAGAGCTGGAGGAAAACCAGGAACCGTAGTCATTTCTTTATTATGAACCTCTCAGTAGGCCTCCTGACTTCTTCAAACAAATTCATAAGGAGCAGACATCTTTTCATCAGAAGCTGTTTCAAAACCTGCCCTTTCTTTCCCTGTTTAGAATCTAAAAGAAGTCACTGTCCCAAATTGTTTAAAAACTCATAAAGATGTTTCTTTTTGTTTCATGGATTGTAATTTCTTTTTGACTTATGAACATGCTGGATTCCTATTTGCTTGGTCTGTTTTTTTTTTTAATCTTTACTTGAGGCTATGTTTTTATTTTAGAGACAGATGATGGGAGAGAGAGAAACATTGATGTGAGAGAGAAACATCAGTTGGTTACATCCTTTATGTGTCCCAACCAGGGATTGAACCTGCAACCTAGGTATGTGCTCTGACCGGGAATCAAACCCCGCAACCTTTTTGCTATACAGGACGTGCTCTAACCATCTGAGCCACTCAGCCAGGGCTGCTTGGTCTTTTGAAGACCAAAGTTATTTCAAGTCGACAGGATTTCCTGCCTCATGTTTTATGTAAATGTTTCTTGTTAGGTGTGTGCTGAAGATGGACCATCACTGTCCTTGGATCAACAACTGTTGTGGTTACCAAAATCATGCTTCATTCACACTGTTTCTCCTGTTAGCACCATTGGGTTGTATTCATGCTGCCTTCATTTTTGTTATGACGATGTATACACAGCTTTATAACCGGGTAAGTGAAATGTTATAAAGTCATTTGTGCCAGATTAAATGGTTTATCAAGATTATTTATGAGGTCCCTTTTGCAAATACGTTTTCTATGATTTAAGTGGGGAAACACACTGCTTTACCTCTAAATGGATTCCTTTTTTAAAAGCATTAAAACTTAATTTTTTCTGGATTATTTTTCTCTGGAAACTCACCTTCTTAGCTCTGGTTGAATTGATAATTATTTTATTCTGTTTGTTTATTTATTTACAGTGGAACCTAGGTTCTCAAACTTAATTTATTCCAGAAGGCTGTTTGAAAACCAAATCATTTTTCCCCATTAGGAATAATATAAATTGAATTAATCCGTCCCAGACCCACAAATAATTCCCTGTTTTAACCTTTCTTATATACAGTACATGACTAATATGCTATTTAATGTATAAACACTTTAAAAACAAAAAGGACATGAAATTAAAATTTAACAAAAAGGAAATGAAATGTACAGTAAAAATGAAAATTTAATAATAAGCCACAACAAAAGCAAAAAAAAAAACAAAAATATTCACACTATAATTTCCTGAGATGTTTGCAAGGTGAGGTTTAGTGGTAAACTGACTCATACTTTCACATTCTCTCCTTTGTTTTTCGCCTGGGAGATGAGTTACTGACCATACAAGTATCCACATGAAAGGGTTGTCAGGTTGAGAATCGAATTGTTTGAGATGGGAGATGATTGAAAACCGAGGTTTGACTGTATGTTGATTCCAGAGAGAAGTAGTGGGGGGAGAGAGAGAGAGAAACATTGATCGGTTGCTTCCTGTAGATGCCCTGACCAGGGATCGAACACCCCAGCTTTTGGTGTACAGGATAATGCTCTGCTCAACTGAGCCACACCAACCAGGGCTGTGTATGTAACTTATGAAATTTCAAACTTGGTAGCTATGGTAAGAATAATTAGGAGGGCAAAAAGAAGAAGAAGAAGAAAAGACAACATGAGGGCTTTCCTTCTCCATCCCATTCAGGTTGTAGTTGTAGTTTGTTCATTTCTAATTCCAGTGCCTAGAACAGCGGTCGCCAACCTTTCAGACCTCATGGACCACCAATGGTCCGCGGACCACCGGTTGGCGACCTCTCCCTAGAATGTGGCTCATGGAGCAGGCATAGTCTTAAAATGCTCTGCAACAGATTGAGCCCATTTATGGGCAGGTAGTCATGAGATAAAGTTCAGGGGACACAAACTCAGTGTCCTAAAGGGGCCTGCAAGGTAAATGAGGGACACAGCCCTCATGGGACTGTGGCACACTGGGGAACATGCCTGTCACAGAGAGGACAACCCATATTCCATTTCAGCCAGCTTTTCATGTTTGAGAATCCAGCCCAGTGATGCTAGATCTTACAAGAAGAAAAAATCTGTTTTTTTAAATGTGAAGTTTCCTGACTTTTAAATGTGGGCACCTAACTAAATATTTTAAAACATTTTGCAAGCCAGGCAATACACATCTGTAGGCCACATTTTGCCAATTTTTCACCTCTGGTTGTGGAACATGAGGGAAGAAACAGCTGAGCCCCAGGCTGTCTTTTTTGCTGTGGAAGATTACTGTAAATGCAGACAAGCACAGAGGAGAGGGAGACACAGTTACCACTTAGATTAGTGTCTAAATTGGTGAACTTAGTGTTGTAAATGCAAATTAATGCAAATTAATGTTTGTGGGGTATGACTAGCACCTTTTGAGGGTGCAATGAAAAACAACCCCCCAAAAATAACATTTGAGAATAAGTAAGAAGGATATGGTGTATGAATGAGTCAGTATGAGTTCAAGCCACAGTGTTCATTAGAAACAACTGTGTTTGCTTTGGCCACAATTTCAAGCTACCATTTTTGATCATTTTAATCAAGTTGTTTCAGTTGTTACAGTAGCCTAACCACTTAAGGACAACCCAATTTTTCGAGCGTATGTTGTTGTTTACAGCTCTCCTTTGGCTGGAACACGGTCAAAATTGATATGAGTGCAGCCCGGAGAGATCCTCTTCCAATCATTCCGTTTGGATTAGCTGCATTTGCTGCCACCTTGTTTGCCTTGGGATTAGCTTTAGGAACAACCATAGCTGTTGGGATGTTGTTTTTTATCCAGGTAAGTTCCTCGGTTACTTCTAGCTAAAAGCTGTCGAGTTATTGGGGCTGCTTGTAATGAGGACAGCCTTGATGCATCACCCAACCCTTTTACAACTCTTAGTGTAAAATAAGCTGATTTTGGTTATACTTCATGTTTCTATTAGCCTGTGATCAACTTCTTTGATTATTTTTTCCAATGCCTATACTTACAAATCATGTTAAAAATAAACTAAAATTCTGTGGTGTAAAAACCTATGTAAATGGAATTAGTTATGTGTAGGAAAATCAAATAGAATTTGGACTGAATATATTCAACTTTTAAGGCAAGCAGAATACCTACATTGACTGAAATGAGTCATGTACTTGTAATAAATAGATTAATCATATATTTAAGGTTAATTAAAAACAGTGATGAGATTTTAATAGCAAAATACACTTACGTATTGATTGAATGAGTTATATCAATATTTTATTAGTACTCTGAAAACTTTATTCAGAAGATGATCCTTAAGAAACATAAATTATTATTAAAACAATATATTTAGATTTGCTTATGGGTTTTATTTGAAGAGGCGTTTTAGTACAGTGGTTAAGAAAAAGGGTTTTCGAATCAGGTGACCACACACTGTGTTACTTAACCTTTATCTTGGTATCTTCATCTATGGAATGGAGCAATAAACACTATCACATAGGGTTTGTTAGTATGAAGATAATAATCTTTAATGAACCAAAGTTCCAGTATAAAATTTTGCTGTCTGTTATTTAATTTTCAGATAAAAATAATTCTCAGAAACCAAACTTCTATTGAATCATGGATTGAAGAAAAGGTAAATTTAATTCTTGTTTTCCTCAGTATCATTAAAGTACTGATTTAACTAATAGACCAGATTAACTAACAAATGCCTGGTAGTGAAAATTTGGCTACCAAATGGCTTCCTTAAGTCATTTGCATGCCACATAAAAGGTAGAAGACAGTTTGATTCATCCCCGGTTTAATGTAACTCCCAGAGAAATACGCTTCTCATACACTCTGAGAGGAGCCATACATTGAATTTGGATGGGGCTTGATTTATACAATTCAGTAAACTCATACATTTTACAGGTTGATTATTCTTTTAATTGAATAACCTCAATATCACCTCTAACTATAAGAAGATTTTCCTTAAAATACTGTCCCTTGATAATAAAATATTTTAAAGTATCATTTCTAGTTAGATTGACATAAGATTAACAAGTGTTTTTGCTCATGACCAATCTATAGTAATAAAAGTAATATGCTAATTAGACCAGACATCCTTCCGGACGACCTTCCAGACGAAGCCAGGGCTACAAGAGAAGCCTGGGTCCTGGGTGCCAGAGGGAAGCCAGTGCCAGCAGCCAGGGGAAGGAAGGCCTACTTTTTCATGAATTTCATGCATCGGGCCTCTAGTGCTCTTTATAAAGTGCCATGCTAAACCTAGGAATTATTTTAAAATTGGTGCTTTGCTGCTGAGTAAAAATTCAAATAAATGATGGTATTAAGCTTACAGAAAATTTATTGAAATTATCACAAACTAAAATTTATACAACAAATTTCAACTACGTTTGTTCACTTATTGTAGGAATAAATAATGTATCTTTATACCACTAGGTGTCAGTGGAACTTAAGAAGATTCTAAGCCAGTATTGCCTTAAGTTAAAGCTAACAACTTAAATGCCTAGAATATAATTTATACAACTCAAATATTTATGTATATGCATAAAATGTACACATAAAAGCAAATATAAGTATATATACATGTGTAGTGGTATAAAAACTGAAAGATGTGCTAGCTTTTAAAAATAATTTTCATAAAATGATGACTTCCCTGTTACACCTTTCCTGGCCATTCCCATGGGTGTCACTGCACCCCAGGATACAACCATTGCAGTCTAGTGCCCCCACGAAACAGTTCCTCCATTCTGAATAAACCCCCTACCCCTTAAAGCTGTTTGTCTGCATCTCTGCTCTATACCTGGATTTTTTGGTCTGCTGAACCACAGGAACATTGAGAATTTCTTATATGGAATAAAATTACTAACTTTTAATATGCACTTCTTAATTTATTCCTTAATAAGCTTATGTATTCTTAAATAAGCCCCATCTGTCATTTTCTGAATGTTCTCATAGGAGGTTGGTGGTGTGTGTCAAGTTCTTCCAATATTGTGGTAAGTTTATTTAGCTCTTCTGTGTACACTAACATCACAACAAGGAGGAAGTATTTTAAGAGTGATACGAATTAGAGGAATAAATGTTCTCAACAGCATATACTAAAAGCCATTTAAGGCATCTGCCTTCTTCCATCTTTGTTACCCACAGGCTAAAGATCGAATTCAATATTATCAGCTAGATGAAGTCTTTGTTTTTCCTTATGACATGGGGAGTCGATGGAAGAACTTTAAGCAGGTATTTACCTGGTCAGGGGTCCCAGAAGGAGATGGACTGGAGTGGCCAGTCAGAGAAGGCTGTCACCAGTACAGCTTAACAGTGAGTGTTTTTGTTCAAATAATCTTTCCTCTGCCTCACCCTCTTCCCTTTAACTTTCCCTTAACTCAGATGACATTTAGAGTAAAATTAATACAAAAATTTTCTCAGTATGTGACAAAACGAATCTAAGTTAATAATCTAAGAACTCTTTGTATCATACCTCTCCTTTTATTTAAATCTCTCCTTAACTCTCCATATCTGTGAGAGACAGTCCTGATTCCTTAACTTGGTTTTATAATATCTGGCCTAAAACTACCTTCCAACTACTTCCAAACAGGAGTCATCTTTACCAGTCAGCCGAGTCTACTGAATAAACAACTTAAACATTCCTGCCCCCTGATTTGTCTGCTGTTTTTTCCATCTTGTGACCTCCTCTCTGTTGGAATTGATTGAGACTGGTTTCAGTTCCACCTCTTCCCTAGTCCAACCTCTGCACCCTAGACTCCTCTGGATTGGGCACTTAGTCATATACTCTTGTGTGGTAGCCCATGAGGTCTCATACTTTTATTTAATTCTTCTACCTTCTATCTTTAATTTTACTTCACATGACTCTAGGACAGAGACTGTACTTTCTTCACTTTCCCAACAGCATCTGTGAATAAGTGGAGGAAAGTGAGTCAGTGAGGCGTAGTGATGACGTTCAGCTGAGACTCTTTTTTTGATGAGTTTTGCAGGCTTCCTACTGCATCTCTAAAGAACTGTGAATCTGTATCATTGTCACTTTGGGTACTCGCCTGGGAGCCCCTTGAGGGCAGAGAGCACATCTCCCTGATCCTGGGCCACAGGGAGTGCTCTGTAAATACACACAGAAGAAGAAGTTAGTGAGAGAATACTGAGAAGAAAGCCCTGCTTCAGCCCCTGTTCTTAGTCATAGGGCCTTCTCTCCATGCTGAAAAACACAGGTGGCCTTTAAATTGTCAGCAGTTAAGAGATGCTGGGAAATTGGGAGTTTGTCATGAACCTCTGATATCAACATTGAGATGAGGCTTTTTATTTTTATATCTTCCAGATAGAACAGTTGAAACAAAAAGCAGATAAAAGAGTAAGAAGTGTAAGTAATTGTTTTGCAATGATACCAATTTCTTTTTTTTTTTTTTTTTTGGTTAGGCTGTACAGTTTTATAGTTTTTAAAATGGCCTTTGAATAGCTGCCAACTGTTGGCTTTTATTAAATAATATTTCTTAAAATGTTTGTTGAAATTTAATGCAACTCACTTTTGTTTTCATTTAAATAGTTTGCACTGGAGGTTTGAAGGGAATTTAGTCAATTTATATTGCCAACAGGAACATAATTTGCCTCAATATAGCTCATTGGTATGAAACCCATCTTTACAGTTATACTGGATAATATGATTGCCACTGGCCACAGGTGGCCAAGTTTAAATTAATTAAAATGAAATGAAATAAAAAATGTAGTCCCTTGGTTGCACCAGCCACATTAGAAGTGCTCAGTGGCTGCATGTGGCTGGTGGTTCCCACATTGGACACCACAGACAGGGAACATGGCCATTGCTGCAGAAAGTCTGATGGGATGGCACTCTCTAGAGTTAATTCTCAGCTGTGCGCTTGAAATGAAGGGGAAGCAATGCCTTGAGAACTAGAAACGTCAGCTGCTGCCTCCTCTAGGGGGACAGGGTGGGTAGCAAGCTGGGAGGGAAAGACGTGTCACCTGATATTCTGGGTCTACCTTTAACAGTTAAAATTCGAACTTTAAAAAGCACAGATGATGGGTAAAGGTTAAATTGTTCTTCTGATTACTGATGACAGGTTCGGTATAAAGTAATAGAAGATTACAGTGGTGCCTGCTGTCCTTTGAACAAAGGAATCAAGACATTCTTCACGAGCCCCTGCACGGAAGAGCCTCGGATACCGCTGCAGAAAGGGGAGTTCATTTTGGCCACGAGAGGGTTACGGTGAGTGGTGGAAAGCACTGTGTTGCCTCTTTAATGACAAAATTGACCTAAAAAGTAACTTTAATCTTTTAAATATTTCAGATACTGGTTATATGGAGACAAAATTCTTGATGATTCCTTTATAGAAGGTATGAAAATGGAACAACAAGACTGCTGGCAATTTCAAATTTCCCAAGAATAACTTTAATAAACAATCCCATATCACATGTATTAGGGGAACTAAAGAGAAGAGCACATCAATCACTAAGCAACAGAAGGAAGCTCCTTGTATTATGTTAGTTCTCCATAGCACTGGGATTTATTGGGTCTTTTTAGTGATGACTAACATTGGAGCTCATGCCTAACTGTGGGACAGGCACTTGTATAATTGTGTCCCGTGTGGTATTGAAGTCCCCATCAGCCCTCTACATGATCGCTTACACTTTATTGACGAGGGAACTGAAGCAGAGACCTAGCCGCTTGCCCGAGGCCACACTGGAAACAGGTAGAGCCAGGCTCCAACCCCAAGCAGTCTGGCTCCAGAGCCTGTGTGCCAAACGCGTAGGCCATGTGTTCCCTCTCCCCCCCCCCCTTTTTTTAATATATGTTTTTTATTGATTTTAGAGAGGGAGGAAGGGAGAGGGATAGAGGTAGAAACATCGATTGGCTGCCTCCTACACGCCCCCTACTGGAGATCAAGCCTGAAATCAGGGCCTGTGCCCTGACTGGGAATTGATCCAGTGACCTCTTGGTTCATGGTTGACGCTCAACCACTGAGTCACACTGGCCGGGCACTCCCACTTGAATGAACATCCCCATATCTCTCCCCCACCCCCATACACAGTGCCTCTCTCACTCTAAACATTATGTAGGAGTGGTTAACATTTGTTAACGTTAATGAGTCTACATTCACACATTAAAATTGTTCCCTTTTAGAGTAAAGATTAACCTAGGATGCTCTTTTAAAAACACTGGGTTAATCGTAAATTAATCCCAAATGACAGCTTAGGCAACCTTGATAAAGACATTTATATGTTAGAAAAAGTCTAAAAAGGAAATTCACAAAGGCTAAGGAAGATAGTTCCCTGAAATAAATGGAGTGTGACAATTTGCCAAAAACACCGTACAATCACACATGGGTAACTGGATGCCCATATTGAGAAGTGCCCCTCACCTCCACTTGGCGGCTGTTCTGAACCACATTAGCTCCTTTCCCAAATAACAGAATTGGGAAAATACCTGGTTTCTAGCTTGTTAGGAGCAAGCAGTTAAAAGCCTTATTTCTTCCCACTCAAACTGCTTATAAAAGATGATAAAGAGGGAAAAAATGTAAAGTCTGACTTATAGCTTATTGATTTGAAGTATAGGACTTAGGGGTCTCGGTAAAGTCATTGCAGTGTATCTGACTATTTCACGTCAATTTAATTTTCTCAGGTGTTTCAAGAATCAGAGGGTGGTTCCCTAGAAACTGCGTGGAGAAGTGTCCCTGCGATGCTGAGACGGAGCAAGCCCCAGAGGGCGAGAAGAAAAACAGATAGCCGCGATCAAAATCCAGTGATTCCTTAAGCCCACCCCATTACTTGAAAATTGTGCATATCACTAAAGAATTATGCAATGAGCCTACTCTGGTTAAGGTGTTCTTTTCCTCAAAGGTGCCCTAGTGCCATGATCTAAATATTGTTATGAACATTTTGAAATGGAGAAGCCATTCTGCATATGCCTTTGAATTCCTGCCCCTCTTGGCCACCTCTTCCTCGCCCCAAAAGGAAAAAACACTTCACCCCAGTAAGTCAATTGCATTTTCTCTAGGGTGTTCTACGCACTGCACACTATGGACCTCACTTGCAGTATCGTTCCCCCTTTGCCAGGAGCATCTGCATGTGATGCTTCTGTCCCGTTTCCCCCTCGGTATTTTCTTATGTAATGTTCTAGATACTGTAGAACTTAATTTGTCAGATTCAATATAAGCTCAGATTTTGTTACCTGTCTTTTAATAATGCTTATTTTGTCAAATCAAATAAAGATCAATGGATGTTCTCTATAAATCATAGTTTTTACTTAAAACATCTTTTTTCTTTTCGATGACTGAAAATGTTCGCCTTAATTCCTTATGGAAAAATTGCTTTACTACCCTGTCCAAAATTGACATCTTTACATTTTCATTTTTATTACTCATCCTCACCCAAGGATATTTTTTCCATTGACTTTTAGAGAGAGGAAGTGAAGGGAGGGAGGGGAGCGAGAGAGAGAAACATCAATTGCTTGTCTCTTGCGTGTGCCCCAACCTCGGCCAGGGATTGAACCTGCAATCTGGGTACTTGCCCTTTACTAGGAATCAAACCCGTGACCCTTTGGTGCTAGGGCCCACGCTCCAACTACTGAGCATACCAGCCAGGGCAAAAAATATTGGCATCTTTAATCATGAGTCTTAAGACATACATATTTGCCTCTATAAATTAACCCATTAATGGCCTGTTGAGATCACAGTATTCTAGGACACTTTCAACTGGGTGATATTAAACTGCTCTTGTACACTTGATTCTCAAAATCTGAAGCTTGTGCAGGTGGTAAGAATGCTGCAGGACTTGCATTCTTAAAGTCAGGTGTGTCTAAACACATAAGTGGAATGACAGAAGTCGCCTATTTGAATATTAATTCTTTCCAAGGCAGGGAACTTGAGCTCTGCGGGTCAGGCTTGTAACAGTTAACAATAAGGGAAGGGCACTTGGGAATTCAGCAGTTGCTGAAACAAAACTGCCCCATTTTAGTGAGGGCTAGGAAGGGAGATAAGTGAAAGACATGTTAGATGGAGTCATATATGTGAAGGTGGCAGGTGGGAGGGTCTGATGGAAGTGACATTTGAAACAAATGAGAGGACAAGTCGTGTGCGTCTGGGAAGTCCTGCAGTTTAGACAGAGACAACAAGAACTGCAGGCTGGAATGTGCCTGGCCTGTTTGAGGGAAGGGACAGCAGTCAGTGCAGGAATGAGCCAGGGCGGTATGAGGAGGTCAGGAGGTAATAGGGGCTAGACATGGCAGGACCTGTAAGGTAATTCCTGCCTTCCCTTTGGCGACTGAAGACTAGACATTTCTTCAACTTTTCTGAGCTGAGTGTAGAAAGACCAGGAACGGCCTGGGCCAGCGTGGCTCAGAGGTTGAGCATCAACCTATGAACCAGAAGGTCACGGTTTGATTCCTGGTCAGGGCACATACCCCGGTTTTGGGTTAGATCCCTAGTGTGGGGCGTGTAGGAGGCAGCCGGGAAATGATTCTCTCTCTTCATGGATGTTTCTATCCCTCTCTTTCCCTTCATCTCAGAAATCAGTAAACATAAATTTAAAAAGAAAAAAAAAGAGAGAGAGAAGGACCAGGAACGTTCTTTTCACTCCAGTTAGAGGCCAGAAAGAAACATTCAAGATGAGAGTATGACAAAGATGGTAAAGAAAAAAAACATAAATCGGGCTCTTTTGGAGTTAGGGCTCAACTGTCCCTTGTTTTGTTGTTCGCAGCTATGGAGTAAGAAGGCCTGGTCCTCTCAGTGTACTAGTTGCCTTTAGTAGTTAACTTGGTTGCATACTAGAATCACCTGCGCACCTTTCAAAAATCCCAGTGCCAAGGCTGTGTCCCAGACCATTTCAATCAGAATCCTTGGGTGGTATCTTTCTAAACTCCCAGGTAATTCTGGTGTGCAGCCACGTTTGAGAGCCACCAGCTCACATGCATGTTAAGTCGTCCTTGCTTAAGGCTGATTCTCATCATGGTCCGTGAGGAAATGCACACCTCAACGTAAGTATCCACAATAGTTTATTATTTGAAAGACTTTACAAGTGGAAGCAACACATGTGTTTGGGGGTGAATCAGAGCAGGAGCTGGAGTTCCTGGGGGAAGAGGCCAGTGGGTCTCCTCTTAGAGAAGCCTGCTGCACAGGCCGGTCTGTGTTCCCAGTTCAGGAGGTTTTTACTCGGTGCTCTGCTTCGTCCACTGGAAAGTGCACTTGACATTATTCCAGCTCCGTCCCCCACAGCTTCCAACTCAGCAGCAAACTGTAAGGGACAGATTTCGTCACCAGTCGTGTCCCTGTAGATAACATCTGAACATTCTCTCGGACATGTCACAGGCCCAACTTTTCATTCTCCCAAGTCAGACAGCCAGAGAGGCTTGGAAATCTTCAGTACAATCAAACACATAAGTACTTAGAGGAAATCTGTCTTTCAGATTCAGAGGCGTGGTAGGTCAAGACTTGATTGAAAATTCTAAAGGTTTTGTGGAGTAGTTAGAAAGCGAATTATAAAACAGCTTTGCAGAACCTAAGCATCTCCTGAACATGGGAAAGTCTAAGTGTGGAGACTGTTGATGGTTCACTTTTACTGAAAAAGTTTTACTGAAAGAAGTCACAAAAGGTCCCTTACACAGGCTGGAGATCATGAGGAAGGGACAACGACTATGAAAGGACATTGAAGAAAGGCATGTTCATAAAAGTAGCCTGAAAACCTGAGTGTCCGCAACATTTATGATGGGGAAGACAAGGTTTACTTAGTCCGGAGCTAAGCAGCATTGTAAGTCTCTCAATGCTGTTTTTTAAAGCCCCCAAACTATAGTTATAATTTAATAGGCAGAACAACAGACAGAAGAAAAGACAAAATGAACGTAAGGCTAGTTTTTAATCCATGTTCCCACAAGGCAGGCTCCCTCAGAGCCCCTTCCAGCTGTCAGTACCTTAACCTATTCCTGCATGTTCTCATACAGGCTGTTGATTTGGGTCTGAAAGTACTTGGAAAGCTCTCCACGCTTTGCTTTCAATGTTGGTGTCAAGAGCCCGTTTTCAATGGAAAAGGGCTCTGGGTGGAGATAGATGCTTTTGACCTGGAAGAGAAGAACAACATTCACACACATGCGTGCACACACATGCGTGCACACACATGCACATTTATTAGTGATTTGGATTTTTCTGCAGAGCCCTCTAAGTGCTATGTGAAGGACCTTACAGAATATTTCACCTTATAAAAAAAAAAAAAATGGGTTTGAGGAAGTGGTAAAAGAGAAAGAACAGTAACACATACCCATTCTCACACACTTAAAATTTGGGAAAGAGATGAGTAGGGAGAAGGGGGAATGAATAATGAATAGCAATAAGTGACTGTACAAATAATTACAAAAGGTCACTGCCATTTATTGTTGATGGGTCCATGGCACGAACTCTAAAAGCCAGTTCCTTGGACACTGTACATTTAAACCCCATTCTCAATGCAACTTTAAAACTTCCTAGAAGGACTTGGAAGACCAGGAGGACATCTGTAGTACATACCTGTTCGAAGGACTTGAGGCCACCTTCTTTCCCAACCTTCTGCAAGTCTTCTAAAATGGCTTCCTTTACGATCTAAGAATGTGAAACATGGCTTAAAGCATGGCTGTTTGGAAAAGCCTCCACGAAAGGTTAAGCAAGAACCGACTCCAAATTCCTACAAGAGCTTGTTGGGATATAAGCAGGGTATGGGAGTACGTATGAGCGCATTTCATGCTTAATATTACTCAAAAGGGAAACCTAAATTGTAAAGGGGTTTTCTCTGAATGGCATTTTTAAATTTTCTATTTTCCCATGCCCTCCCCCATAAAGAGCATATTACTATAAAAAAGAATGGTATTTGTTACTTTTAAACTCCCCATCCTATCCTCCAATCTAATAAAACCAGTGTTTAGCGTTCAGCCACCTGCCACAGATTCAGGAAGAACCTGTTCTTCCAGACAGGAGGCTCTGGGAACTCATGGGTGCCCAAGATGGTGGGCCTCCCCTCTCCCACGATGGGCCCCAGGGTGGCGCATAAAGTTTTGCTACATGAGACTTACTTGGTTTTGGCACAGCTCTTCAAAGGAGCCCTTAACCCCAAGTTTGGCTGCAAATGTGGGGAGCACTTCTGAGTCAGGAACCACCACTGCTACCAAGGATGACTATGGAGAGGAAACAAGGCCGGTGAGAATTATTATACAGAAGTTTCCCAGTGGCTAACGAAGGCAGGATCATAACTTTGAAATAGACATCTCCCAAGATCTCTGACTCAGTACCAGTGTCCTACTCTTTCCTCACCAGATATCTCAAACTCTCCTGGAACTCGAATCCCATTTTCCCTTTACAAAAATGTTCTACTCAAATTTGGTTGATCAAAGAGAAGTGTGGTGTTTCAACATTAAGCTTAAACCATCTCTGGCCTGTCCATATGAACCCTCCCCCACTCTCCAAAAGCTAAGTTTAAGCCTAGTGTGTATGACACAGTTTGTGCCAAAGGACTTTTATTCCACTTGGGTATCCTTTTAATGAATGGCTACCCTTTAAGTATAACTGTCTATCAATCCTACTGACTTGTTTACAGAATCCATCCTAGTTTCAAACAATTATTTGCATCTATATTGCCTTATTTTGAGATTTGGAATGTGGCTTGATTTCTTTAGTTCTACAAGCTTTTATCTTCTCATCCTAAACCCACTGAAACAGAATCCCTGTAGCTACCGGGATCAACATGGTCTGTGCCTAGAAAGGGCTATCGTTAAAACAAAGTATTACCCGCAAGCTCTCCCCATGCACAAAAATTTGCTGCACTGGTCCACTCCTGCTGTACACGTTTTCTATCTTCTCGGGAGCGATGTATTCTCCTTGGGCCAGCTTGAAAATGTTCTTTTTACGGTCAGTGATCTTCAGAGTTCCATTCTGTACGAGACAGACAGAAGACAGCGTCAGTGTTTCTGAGCCCCCTGCGGGTGGTATCCGTGGAGAGGCTGGTGAAGTCCTTCTTTAAACTTGGCTTCTCTGGAGACTTTTGAGCCATCTTTCACTTCTCATTCTTGGCTTTGAGTAAAGGGTAGGAAAGAGCCTGTCTGTACTGTGTGTCTCTTTGGAAGGTCAATGTGTTCCCTGAGAAAAAGCCCCCAGGACCTGCTGGGGTTGTGTAAATGATTGTCTTATTTGCCAAAGAAATTTTGTAGCCATAAATGTCTAATAGTTTAATGCCCGATTACTTCATTTCCGGCACTCCCAGAGATAGGGAAGGAAGGATCTTTTAAGAATTTGGTGCCCTAGCCGGTTTGTCTTAGTGGATAGAGCATCGGCCTGTGGACTGAAGGGTCATGGGTTCAATTCCAGCCAAGGGCATATGCCTGGGGTTGCAGGCTCAATCCCCTATAGGGAGCATGCAGGAGGCATCCCAATCAATGATTCCTTGTCATCATTGATGTTTCTATCTCTCTCTCCCTCTCTCTTCTCTGAAATCAATAAAAATACATTACACACACAAAAAAATTGGAATAAGTTAGATCTCCCCCTCCTTGACTCCTTTTTCTGTATCCCTCCTGTTAGATCTGGGAGCAGGCTAAACAGCTCTGCTGTGCTAATGTTAATCAAGAAGTCAATAATTGTTAGTACAGAAGTAGGGCCTGGAGGCTCTTTCCCCAGCCACCAGGGGTCATTTGATGTCTCTGAGCTCATTGGTCTGAGGAGCTTAGGCTCTTAGGGATTTGAATTGCAGAATTGGGCCAAGTGTTAAATACAATCCACATGCTCACACCTTAAGTAGGGCAGTAGACTGAACCAGCCCTGGAACCATCAACAAGGCTGCCTCGAGAAATAAGGCCACAATCCAGCCTAACAGACATTATCTGAAAGTCATTAATAAGGCTAAGCCCTTTATAACTCCAATTTGGGGACGCATGCATTGCCCACATTTTACGCTTATTAGAGCAGAGAACGCATACAGAAGCAGATAAGTTAGCATGACACTCCTAGACCCAAATCTATGAGATTCATCACCAGAACCAATGTTCTCAGAGTTTTCACCGAACATTCTGTGACTATCACTTAAATCTTGGAATATTGAGCCAGAAAGGAGTTTCAGATCTGGTTACATCCCCACTCCCCCAGCACATAGTAGACACCTTTTCAGAGGGGACCTTGGAAAATCCCCTACAGGGCTCCTAAATCTCCATCACAATTAAGCAATGATTTCCTCTCTTCTTAGAAAAATGGATGGGGTTGGCAGAGACTACTTACCTTTGTTAGCAAACTTAAAAAAATGGAGCCATATATTCCGCAGAGAGAGGCAGTAAAGGTCACTGAGAGGCAAAGCCTAGCCTCTGCATATGCCTAGTTTAGAAATCTTGCCTCCTTGTTTTGCTATGTCTACTATGTCTATATTAAGTGGAAAGAAATGAATATAACCCTTTGAAACTTGTAAAAGGCAAATGGTTGGAGCCCATGGAGTTATCAAATCGCAACGTCTTTCTCAATAAAAGTAAACAAATAACAAAAAGAAAACAGACGACTACAGTCCTTTCCTGGAAGTGTCAACTAATTTTCCTTTGGCTGCAAGCAAATCTATTCCATTGGCACGGGAGTCACGCCAACTCAGCTGATCATCCCACTCGCATCTCTGCCCAGCTTGTCAATAAGCAGATGGTTCTCCCCAGTTCTGCAGCCTATTCTCCCCAAAGTTTTGAAGAAATACCCACCGGGAGCCAGCGACCAATATCTCCTGTGTGAAGCCAGCCATCTTTGTCCAGGGCTTCCGCCGTCTTCTCAGGGTCCTTCAGGTATCCTTTGAACACATTGACCCCCTTGATGCAGATCTGCATGTAAGAAGGTACAAAGTGATGACAATGGCAGAGGGCACTACTCCAGGCCTGGGTACTTTATCAAACACCTGTTGCCACCCTTACATCATCTGATGGTTTCAACTACCGTGTGAAGAGCACTCGATTGTAATCCCCAGTGTGGGGGACAGGAAAGTGAGGTTCAGAAACACCCAATGCCTTGCTCAAGATTTCAGAGGAGTTTAACCCATGCCTGCTCACAAGGGTGTGCTCTCCTTGATACAAACACCGCCCCCGCCCCCCCCTCTCCCCCCAATGCCTTGGCATGACTACTGGGAGCAACCCACCCACCTCTCCTTCACCGTTCACTGAAAAGTAGTTCATGTCTGGCACATCTTCCAGCTTCACGTGATTGCAAGCCAGGGGAACTCCGACATGGCCTAGAACACACCACACTGAGTCAGCTGGGAAACTGTAAAAACGGTGGTCATTCCAGGAATATTTCAGAGATACTTATGGATCAACTCTAAAAGGTAAAAGACTGAAAAATCATCTGCCAAGATAGGAAGGCCTGGACCAAAACCCGAGTTGGCTTTTGCCACATTTATCTAAACCCATAAGTCCAAGCTCAATTAGAACCCTTCTCCCAACCACTGCCCCTCCCGCCCAGCAGACGGAGAACCTACCTGGTCTCCAGTCCCCGGGTAATGTGAATGTACAGCCAGCAGTGCATTCTGTTTGACCATAAGCTTCAAACACCTGGGAAAGCCAGAGAAGGGCTTTGAGACCGACTCAAGGTAAAGCAGGAGCTGGCCATGCTTTAAAAGAGGAGGAAAGCAAGGCCTCTGAGGGTTGGAGGTCACTTCATGTCATAAGACCGGGAGTTCACGCCTGAGCTGCTAAGTCGTCACAACTAAGGGCTTCACTCAAAAATCAAAAGGGTCTAGAAATAGACCAACGTATGGAAAGTTATACTGTACTTTGGGAAATGTTGCATTTCAAGTCGATGAGAAAAGAAGAGTTTTTCAATAGAAGAAAAGACTAGAAAAAATATTTCTAAAACAACAAACATGAATATTATTACTATCTGAAGGACTCTTAGAAAGCAACGTGAAAGAGAACCAAATTATCCTGTGCCTGTTTTTCTGTATGGAAGTGATAGAATGATTCATGGAAGAAATACAGATGCCAATAAGCGATAGAAAAGATGTTCAGTGTTTTCATGTATCTGATGGTCTAGGATTTAAATGATTGTCAAAGACTTTCACTGTCAAAAATGTGGGAAAATAAGACCTCATGCATTATTTGCAGAAAGGAATAAAAAAACCAGACCTTACTAAAGGGAAGTTAGGTAATCCCTACTTGCCAGGATTAGTCCCCAAATTGATAATTGCATTCAATACTAACGAATATACAGGTATCCTTATCACTTCATTGATTATAACAGCAAAAAGAAAAGGTAAGTATCTCTTGTCCATCAATAGGAGACTAGTTATTTAGGTATATTCACCAAACTATTCCAAAACCATTAAATAATGTAGATCTTTGCTTGACAAGGAACAATATCAATGGGGCACTGTTTAACAAGTATGTTAGAACCCTATGCCCTTTATGTGGGTTTCCATATGCATAAGAGGTGACTAGACAGATATTTTCTCTTGATTTTGAGATTTTTTGGGTGAGTGTCTCTTCGGTACTTTTCAGTTGTGTTTTCAATTTTATTTAAACAGCCTTATTTGTTGCAAAAGTGAAATAAGCTATCTTCAAAGGTGCTTGGCTTACCGGACATCCCATTGCTGCTCGGAGGAACTCCAAGACGGGAGAGGAGATGGGGGCAGCGCCAGTGACCATGATGCGCACCTTCCCGCCCAGGTTGTCCTGTTCAGTAGAAACAAAAACACCCGCTGAAGCCTCTTCCCCTGGCTTCCTTTTCCTCCATTGCAAGATGGGTTGAACAACCCACCCACTATTGTTAGGAGAATTAAACTTGGTAATTTACAAAGCACTTAGAATAGGGCCTGGTACTGTGGGAAGGCACTTAAAATGTTAACTATTATTGTCACCACTACCCACAATAGCTGGGACCAGATCTGCATTTTTAAGATTTCCTCCTATAATTTGTATTTTTGGTCCCTTCAAATTACTTATAATCTCAACAGACCACCTTAAAAATATATATGAGAAAGTGCTAGAACCTAAACACAAAGCATTTTCTGAACTTGGACCAATTCCCTTTAGTGACAAACAAGGTTGTCCCGGAGAGATCTCAAACGGTGAGTGAATACAGAAAGTAAGCAAGGATCTCCAGTTAAAGAGATGCTTGTCCATCAACCTACCTGGATCTTTGCAAAGATGAGCTTGTCCCACAAACTGTTGCGTCTGATGATACCCCTTTTCACCTCATTGAATTTGCTGGAAATAGCCATTTTCAACATGAACTTCTTCAAGGGAGTCTTGGCTGAATTTTGAACCTGCAGGGTGATAACTCCTCTTAGTTGGAAACCTCCATAGAGACACACACCAAAGCTCATCCATGAGCAAGAGATGTTGCCATCTAGCTTCATAAGGAAGCAGCTCTCATAATAATAGAGCCCAGAGAATGATGCCCACATATAATTCAGAGCTCCAGTTCCTCCGGATACCTTGGCACACAACTTTGGCAACTGACATAATTACGTCTTCAAAAGATGGTCAGCACCAATCTACATAGTCACTTGGGACTACTAGATAATAACCAGCTCAATGGGCAGCACCCTGAGGGTTTTTGCTTTAGTAGGTTGAATAAGGTCCCAGGAATCTGACTGTTTAAACAAGCATCACCTCTCACTCCCCTTGCCCGACACACTAAACTTGGAGAAATACCACTTTCTCTATAACTGAAGTTTCCTTAGCCACAGCACACAAAGCCCAACAGACTTTTCTACTTAAATAGTTCTTCCCTGTGAACTTACTGCTGACACCGATCTTTTCTCAACTTTTACAAGACTCCCCCTAACAAATCATGGACAAAGAGCTGGAATTTAGACACACTAATAAAGTCTTGTTTTTTTTTAAAATGGAAATATATAAACCTTTATTTATTTATTTATTTATTTATTTATTTATTTATTTATATTGTTTAAAGTATTACATATAGTATTACATATGTCTTCTTTTTCCCCCACTGACCTCCCCACAGCCACTCCCATTCCCCGGCACATGTCCTTACCCCCCCTAGTAAAGTCTTGCATTTTAGAAATAAGTCCCAGAAGAGAACTGTGTGTTAATACCATATTGTAAAATAACTCTCTCTCAAAAACTAAAAAGAAAGCCCAATCAACAACTGAACAAAAATTATAACTACCAAATCTAACAATCCCATAGCACGATGAGGAGCTGTTAGAATTGTTAGCAAGTCTGATAGAAATGAGGGCTCTCAGTGTCTAGGGATCATCTGTGTACTAGCATGCCATCCGTCCTATCACTGGAGCCCCAGGATAACCCCTGGTGAGATTCACAAGCATGAAGGGGAGTGCTAGGATCTGAGCGGTGGGGCCAACATGTGGAGAATGGCCTTGTGTTCTTTCCTTAAGGCTCTCATGTCTATGGAAGTATGAGGTGCTCGGGCACACAGTCAAGAGCATGGGTGCTGTTATTATATTGCCTGGGTTCAAATTCCAGTTCTAAGAGCTCTTTGGAGAAAACAACCAAACCAAGACTTGAGTAAGAATCGTAGAAGATGAGCTTGAGACATCTTAGGCTAGGAGTCAACGAAGCTATTAAAAAACCACTCAGGTCCTGTCAAAGGACATATGAACAACACGACGGGGCTCCCAACTTCCAAAATGGGACCCCTGACTTCCAAAATAGGGAAATTTGAACACCGAGAAAAATGAGTGAAATAGATTAAACATACAAATATGCAAATCACCAGCTCTTAATATTACAAAGAAAATAATCTCATTGGCCAGTTTTAAAGATCACTGGGGCACCAATTCAGCTTTCTGAAGATTGGTAAATAAAAGAATGAAATATTTGTTGTGCCCTTATGAGAGCATCGTAGCTAGTGAATGAAAGAGAAATGATTGAATTAGAAAAATCACCATTTTGCAATCCCTAATGAAAAATAGAGCACTGATAAATGACAGCTAAAATAATTATGTGACAACCATAGCCGGTTTGGCTGAGTGGATAGGATGTCGGCCTGTGGACTCAAGGGTCTCAGTTTCAATTCCGGTCAAGGGCACATGACTGGGTTGCGGGCTCAATCCCCAGAAGGGGGTGTGCAGGAGGCAGCTGATCAATGATTCTTTCTCATCACTGATGTTTCTATCTCTCTCTCCCTCTCCCTTCCTCTCTAAAATCAATAGAAATATATTTTAAAAAATGAAAATAAAATAAAATAATGATGTGACAATTTGATTCTGTCCAGACCCATTATTAGCTGTGACTCTGAGCAAGTTATTGCCCCTGAGGCTGTCTCTTCACCTATAAGTTAGGGATATCAAGCATAGGCCTCATGTGCTTTTGTGGGGATACAATGCTTGTAGGTGCTATGAAATCAGTCTCTCTGTACTGAGCTCTTTTTCCAGATCAGGTCCAAGTGGTCTCACCCGGAGGAAAGGGTTTTTTCACAACTGCATTTATAAATGTGGCTGTAAGTAGATGTGGGTAGGGAATGGGAGGCAATGGTGGAAGTGGACAAATTCTTAACAACAGAGAGTCCCTACGAGCCTCAGTCAGGCCTGAGCCAGACAGCTCGTTCACCCCACGGTCAGCCCAGTAGAAGCAAGGCCAGTACCTTATCGTAGATCCTGTTGAGGAGTCGAGGCACCACGGGAAACAATGTGGGCTTCAGTGTCTTCATGTCATCGGGCAGCAACCGAATGTCTCCTTGGAAGAACCCAACTCTGGCTCCACACGAGTACACAACAATCTGAAACCAAAACCGAAGAAAAGGGCTCAGCGCCAAAGGACTGCTTCAGGTGGGGCCCGTCTTCAAGAGGCTGTCACAAGAGACTTGTCTGCTCGTGGTGCCTCTTAGTCTGTGGCACTAAGAAAAAACACCGCCAATGAAACAAGAACATAATCGCGAGACTGTCCTATAATTGTGAGACTGTCCCGAGTTCAGAAATGTGAAAAAGATTCTTATTAGCCCTTGCTTGTTTGGCTCAGTGGAAAGAACATCGGCCTGGGGACTGAAGGGTCCTGGGTTTCATTGCAGTCAAGGGCACGTACCTAGGTTGCAGACCTGATCCCCAGACCTGGTTGGAGCATGTGCGAAGGCAACCAATTGATGGATGTGCCTCTCTCACATCAGTGTTTCTCTCTCTCTCTCTCTCTCTCTCTCTCTCTCTCTCTCTCTCTCTCTCTCCCTCTCTCTCGCTCTCGCTCTCTCTCCCTCTCTCCCTTCCACTCTCTCTAAAAACCAATGGAAAAATATCCTCAGGTGAGGATTGAAAAAAACGATGTTTATTAGAATCAATATGTTATGGATCAGATATCAGCACTTTAGTCCAAGGAACTGGTTCGCTCCTTCATCATTTCATGCATCAACAGTATTTAAGAAATATTTAAGAATAGGGCTCACAGCCAAAGGATCACTTCACAGGGGATCAGAGAGAGGATTTCCCATTCCTACCACCACCTATGCTTTTGAAAGACCAGCATTGCTTTCAGTCCTCAAATCGGCCTCAGCCTGAGCAGCCCAGAGTCCACTCACAGAGGGTCAGCCCTCCTCCAGGGTACACCACCCTGAACGAGCCTGTCTTAGACACTCTGGACATCTCACCTGGATCAAATGCTTCTTCCCTGGCCCGCTGTGAGGAACTTCCTTTCCTCTAATCCTTGATCTTTTAAAATCTTTGAACCAAAATAAAATTAAAAAAAGAAAAACATATCTTATCCCAGGTCAGAATGAAGGGTCTACGGTAAGCTCCTGGCTCTGATCTCACTCGACTCACAGGCACCATGTGAAGGTGGGAGCAAGCTGAGTCCCAGTGGACCCACACAGACTTAGCAGAGGAAGGTACCACAGCAAGGTAGGGGAATGCCGGGATATAGACTTAGCTGTGCCCATTCCCTGTCTATGACCTTTACCTTAAAGAAAGGACTGTAATTGTTGGGAACCTGCCTTTGGAATAAAGGTGAGACTAAGCAAGTCAGGACTCCCTTCCCACATACCTGCTAGGGCCGTGGGCACTCACCTGTACAACCCTCTCAAACATATGAGCCAAGGGGAGGTAGGAAATGCTCACATCCTCAGGGGTGGGTGCAAAGCTTTCCTGCAGGTCAGGAAGGGGGAGGAGACAAAATCGGATTAATGCCAACCTTCTTTTCCAAAGAGATTTAAGACCTACCCTTGTTAACTATAGTTAATAATACTCTATTGCATATTTGAAAGTTGCTGAGAGAGTTGATCTTAGAAGTTCTCGTCACAAGAACAAAGAATTTGTAACTATGTGCAGTGATGGATGTTAACTACACTTACTATGAGGATCATTTTGCAATACATATAAATATTGAATCATTATGCTGTATACCTGAAACTATTACAATGTTAGGCATCGTTACATCTCATTTAAACTTAAAAAAATTTTTTTAACTACTTCCTTCCATGAGTGCCCCATACAGTCGTGCAGGGGGTGCCCTGCAGAACTGGAAAAGGTGCCCTGGACTGCGCTGGGGTAGAGGTTTGCAGGGATCCTCAAAGACCACAGCTTGAAAATGCACAGCCCTCCACACAAAGATGCACAGGTGTTTGTCGACACTCAGGCCCTTAACCTGTTTTGGTTTTTTTTCTTCTCTGCCTCCTCTCGCTTCAAGATTAAAATCTTATGACAGAGTCACATTCTAATGAGGACCTCTTTTTCAAGCTACCACTAACCTCCACACATCTGAGGAAAGCTGAAGCATTCGAAACAACATTTTGATGGGTTAGCATGGCTCCTTTGGGGTCACCTGTAGGAAACAAGAGGTAGAGAGAAAGACCCTTTATGTAGCAAATCGGTAACCTTTTGGCTTTGAAATAAGAAGTGACATTCAATTGGTTCTGTTCCAAAGAGGCAAATGCTTCTCCTGTCACCGAGTCTTTGTACAAGAGGTAGACGACTCTGTTTGTGAATGGTTAATGCTCCCAGAGATTCTACTGCTGACAGCCTTCTGCCCTCACACAGGGAATAGCCATAGTTCAGATAGCAACACAGTAGAAAATAAAAATCCAAGTAACCTCCCCGTCCCTTGTGTTGTTTTTATGTTGAAGACTTCAGATCTAACAATGTTACCTAGCTATCACCTTATAAACTGGGCAGATGGAATGGATATAACGGTAGGTCATCATGGGCCACGTGAAAAGCTATTAGGAGTTCTAATAGGTAGGTAGCTGCCAGGAGGAGGTGGGGTGCACAGTGATCTGTGTAGAACTATCACTGGGTTATCTTGATTGAATGGCCATTCTAGTGGTGTCAAATTGAGAGCATGGTGGGTTGGGGAAGAAGGTTGACTTTATGATGCCATCTTTAAGACCCCTGAAATTCATAGCATGTAAACTCCTCTCAGTATGTTCAATGAAGTCTATCTACTTATGCTTACAGTTTTCTATCTGGGTATCTGCACTCAAAAGCCTTAGGTGGTGAGCCCCTACCAGTGGTCAGTACTCAAGCCATGTTTTTGGCTGACCTGAGGTCTTGGCACAGCTTCATGGGCACTGACCTGTGGTCCCACTGGTAAAGCAGACGATGCCCAGGTCTTCTGGTTCAGGAGGCTGGAGGGGGAAGCACAAGGGCTTAGTCTACCATGAGCTTTGGAAGTTGAATAAGATTGGTTCAAATTCAGGAAGAAGAAAACTTACCACGGGTTTTCTGAAATTCTCTTTGCCTATATTCTACAAGAAAGAAAGACATAAGTTGAGTTGGATAGACTCATGACAAATACAGCCCTCTTCCTTTTCCATGAGAACAGATCTATGGGAACATCACCAAAATTTCATCTTGGGTCAGGCTCAGAAGCCCTATGGAAAAGCGTAAGGTCTAAATTAAAAACCTTAAGAGGGAAGAAAGACCCCAAATGTCTAAACTTCCACCATACTTTTAGGCTTAATCATCTAGGACCATTGCTAAATCTTTTTGAATAATATGTTTAGTTGACATTTCCAGGCTTACTACATACCAGTCACTTTCCTGAGCAGTTTATGCAATTATTAACTCAGTTAACTCTCTAACACCTCTGTGAGACAGAGATTACTTTATCCTTGTTTTACAGAAGGGGAAAGGGAGATACAGAATAACTTGCCCCAGTTCACCTAGTTCCAGGACCGTATCCTTAACTACCACCAACCACTGCACTTATAAATCCTCCACTGAGAACTCTGTGCAGGCTGGCCACAGACTTTTCTCCTCCTCTGCCATGGTTTCTGAGTTTTCCTGAGGAAATTGTTCTCAAAGCTTCACAGCATGAGTCTAATTTACTCCTGTCCTGCCACCCCTGGGGAACAACAGCCTGTGCATTTGTGGAGATGTCAGGCCAAGTGGATGACACCAGATGCCCATGGCGTCAGGCCAGCCTTGGAGTTGTGAGTTGTGTTGCAGACCATTACCTCAGCATCCAAGAAGGATAAGAGCTCAACTCCGATCTTGTCCCCTCTTTGCTTCAGGTCATCCTCGAAGGGATTCATGAGGATGATCAGTTTCAGGCCTGGAGTGAGGCCCTTCTCCACGTTTTCGAGCAGGACTGATGCCTTTTGGGGTGTATCACAGATCACCATGGCAATATCAGCTGAAAGCAGAAACAAGAGCCAGAGGTCATCTTCCTGCTCTGCCATGGACCTGATGCCTTGGGAGGAGGAAGGGGTTTTTGAAAATTTCAAAGCAGTGGGTCCCCTAAAGGATATTAATTATGTCTGCAAATCTGATGGTAATGCGTAAACCCTAAAACATTCCATTGATAACAAAGAAGCTTAATTGAAGCAGAAGCAGAGTTCCCATGTGTGCTGCCAATTGAGTTTAGTCTCTAGAGAAGCCACAAAATTCCTTCTGCTTAAGAACACAGATGACTCTCAAATCACTTAGGTGTGGTCCTGTCAATGTGTTTTATTTGGGGGAGGCAGAATGGGGGTAGAAGGGAAAGGAAGGGGCAGATGGGATTGTAGCAGACAAGCATTTTGTGATTTTAAATGTTAGCCTTTGCTTTGATACTTGTTTACACAAATAGCAAACTCCTGATTGTGTCTAAAGTTCAAGTGGATCACTTCACTTAATCTACTATTTCTGTGACAGAAAGTAACATCTTGGATATGTGGAAGGGCTGTTACTTGTCCATTGAACTTGTACTTGTTGAGAATGGTAGTGTTTTCTACAGACTTAGTATAAACATTGGTCTATGCCGGTTAACTGTACTGACTTACACTGACAAGAATAGGAACTTAGACCGGAAGTTTCACAGTGATTAGTCATCCACTCTGGCCTTGTCTCCAGTGAGGCCAAAGTAAATAGCCTAGTCCTCTAAACTCCATTGTCATCCTATGTCACCTTAAAGCACATTTCATTGACTCCTCTATCTGTGCCTATCCCTGCCTCATGGGCTTTTTGTAACTTCCCTGTAAATTCTATGTAGGTACTACAAGACAGCAAAGACGTGAGCATTTTTCTGGCCACAGCATCCCAAGTCTGACTAGTTTGGCTCAGTGGCTAGAGTGTCGGCCTGTGGACTGAAGAGTCCCAGGTTCGATTCCAGTCAAGGGCATGTACCTTGGTTGCGGGCACATCCCCAGTAGAGGGTGTGCAGGAGGTAGCTGATTGATGTTTCTCTCTCATGGATGTTTCTAACTCTCTATCCCTCTCCCTTCCTCTCTGTAAAAATCAATAAAATATATTTTTTAAAAAAGCAGATCTTGAGGAATTATTCAGCTTTAAGAAAGAAGCAGTTGTAATGGAATAGCCAAGTCTTACCCTTGTTGATAATGTATATGACGGCTTCTGCTCCCAAGGTATCATACAGGGGCACGGCTACCATGGAGTACGTGTAACAAGCTAACTCAGAGATGATCCACTGCATGGAGAGAAGGTCAAGTAAGGACAAGAGAGCACTTGGAAGAGGAAAAGTATTAACTTAGTCATTTAGCCAACAAATGATTTTGTGGCTACTTTGCATTTTTAAAAAAATCACTGTGGGGCCTTAGGGACTACCACAGCTAATGCCTCAAAGGACAGTTAAGTAAAGGAGATAAGAGGCACAGAGCTAACTATAATACAAAGGTGGGCCAGGATACAAAGGTAGAGTGTGATGAGTTCTGTCCATAGGAGCTATGGAAAGCATTAGGGAGCTTTAAGGAGGCAGAGGTCACTTTCAGGGGTGGGGTAAAGGGGATCGGGAGCTGCTTTGGGGAAAGTGATGAACATTGGGCAGGGGTTTGAAGGACTGGTACATTTTGGTTGTGGAGGGGGAGGCAGAGAATGCATTCAGGGAGTGAACAGAGGTAGGATAGCATGATGTCAATGTATACACACCAGGAAGCATGAAGAGGGAGAGAAAATGAGTCTAGATGCCATGGGCTGAATTGCAGCCCTAACCCCCAATGCCACTCATATTGTACCAAGTAAACCAAGGAAGTGATCAAGGGTAAATGAGTTCTAATCCAACATAGCTAGTGTCCTTCTAAGAGGAAGAGACATCAGGGATGACAGAAAAGGTCATGTGAGGACACAATGAGAAGGCAGCCAACTGCAAGCCAAAAAGAGAGGCCCCAGGAGAAACCAAGCTGAATGACACCTTCATCTTGGACTTCCAGCCTCCAGAAGTGTGGGAAAATATAGTTCTGTTGTTTAAACCGCCAGTTTCTGGTATTTTGTTATGACAGCCCTGGCAGGCTAATTCACTAGGTTTAGTTCCTCATGGAGGCTGGGTATAACAAATTAATTCCAATCATCGTAATGTCTAAAATTGGCTTTCAATGGCCAGTCTCCATAGCAATGGATGCCTTGGTTTACTTGGTTCAACATGCAAGTTCCAATTCTGATTTGAATACGTCCTTTTCTAGAACAGCCTCAAACTCTTATCGGCCAGTACCTTTCAGCCGCCTCATTTTCATCATGCAACAAACAGGCTGCCTTAAAATGACTCTTAATGGGCTGGGAAATAAGAGAAGTCCAGTCACCTAGCTTAGAGCACCACACATTCAAACAGGAATTAAGGAGGCCCAGAGCTGTAACTTTCTCAAGGGGAAAAATGTTGAAAGAATATGAGATCTTTAAATAGTTTTGGTAAGTCCTCAACAAGTGTCAGAGAGCTGGATTAGGGGTGGGTTTAAAGTCCTTAGACTTAGCCCTGACTCATTTTCTTGAGTTAACTTCAATGTGGTTACCTCTGGCCTGTTTTGAGCAAAGATGCCAACAAATTGGTCTGGTGATGGCTTATATCCTTTATACAAAAGACAGGATCCCAGGTACTCTGCTCGATCAGACACCTACAAAAGAGAGAAAAAGAAGTGGGGGGGAGGGGGGGAGCAGTCAAAACCCAAAGGAGACCATTAGCTTGGCTTATCACATTAGCAAAAGAATCTATCCCAAACATGGGCCTCACTTACCTGCTTGTAGGACAGCCATCTGTAGGGCTGGTTTGGTTTTCTGTATCCCAAGCAAGGCCCATTGTCTATAAACATAACGTTAAAAGAAGATTAGTTTCATTTGCAAATCCTTTGGACCAGAGAAGTTAAAGGGAATTAGGAAGAGACAAACCACATATTGTAAATCTCGTTAGAATGTGAACTTCTCTTATGTGCCAAGGAAATTCAAAGGCAATAAGTAATCAGTTCTCAAAAGTAAACTACATTTGAAACATGTAGGAAATCCTAGAGAACAGAGTGGCTCAGTGTTGGAATATGTGACCCCCATGGTAACAGGCATGAATATGGACTAGCCCACATGATGTGAACCAGTAAAAGTCCGCAAGTAAACACAGCCTGAAAGGGATAATCTTGAATTGATCTTCCCTATAATACAAAAATGTATGCTCAGACAAATATAGAAAAAAATCAAAATATGAGCTGTTAATGTCACATATCTACCATTATTAACAGTAATATTATTTTCATAGTTCCTTTGCACATTCTATAAAGTTCTGATATGTGTGTGCATGTGTGTATGTATGTGTGCATTTATCCTGCTTCCTTTCTCTGTTTGATATAAACATTTCCATGTCATTACTTATTCTCTGTAGCGATTTTAGTGGCCTTATTTTGGCCAACTGACGAAGGGTTCTACTGTAGTTTACTTCTCTCATTGTGGTTACTAAGATCATTTTCAAGTTTGACACCTTAAATAAACCAATGGAAAATATTTTCAAATTAATCATTTCAAATTTAGCGCATTTTCTTAGAACAGAGTTCCCAAAATGAAATGACTGAGTTGGGAGCTGAGGGAGGTTGGAATGGCTCAGGTTTTTTATATGTAGCACCACAGTGCTTCATACACCCCATTGTGACAATTTCTTTTTTCCCACTGGCAACATTTCAAGTCATAGACACTAAATAGTACCCTTTGAAACATGTCTTGTGGTTTGATAGGTTTAAAAAATTAAGGCTTTAGGTCTACAGTTCTTTAACAGCGAGTCAAGTGGGACCTTTCCCTTGTTTGTTGAACTTTGTTGGCTCTCATCTGTTCATGTACTTTGCCTGTTTACAGGAGAGTGTCTCCTGAAAGGCTAAGGCTCAGTCACAGGAACCACGGAAGTTGATATGAGGCTAAGGAACATGCCTAACTGGCTGAAAGGCCGAAATGAGACCAAGTTATAAATAGAAAAGTACACGGGAGGGGACTTGGACACAGTGGCTCTAGCCAAACTGCTGAGAGAGAATCAGGTCTTGACAAAAGGAAGCATTCAGAGAGAGTGTTACTAGGAATCCAGAGGTAAATACGTAAACTTCCAGACTAAGTGACAGAGGAAAAAGGAAAGAAAGCAGGAAAGAGATAGCTGCTCTGATTAGAAAGATATAAAAATAAGTGAAGAGACTGTCCACAGGAAGTGTTAGTACTTTTTCTTCCTGCTGAAACAGCTGCAGAAAAGCTCAAGAAGTCAAGTCCCAGACTGTAATTTTCCATGAAACTGGGCAAGTCTTGTGCTGTTAGGTGCTCAGCCCAGAGTGTGTGCCTCAATGGTCTACCGATGAGATTGCACACACATGAATTACTAGGGATAGCTACCATTGAGGGAATGCTTACTCCGTGCTAGGCACATTCGCTCACTTGGTCTTTGCAACTATTGTTATCCCCAGAGGTGACAATATCTGAGAGTCAGAAGGGCCTGGGATGGCTTCTTCAAGCTCACTCAGTAGGTGGCAGAGCTGATGAGTGTGGAAAAAAACCACCCTGCATCGCCTTGTCACTTCCCTATAGGTGAAAATTCTAGCAGAGGCCCATGGCTGAGGAACAAGTCAAATAATTGGCCCAAAGGGACACCAACTGGGGTCTCATTAAACTCTATGTCCTAATTAGCTTCAGTCTAATTAGCCCAAGTCCTAATCAGGCAATAGCCTAGCCTGTGGTTAACTTCCTCAACTCAGATCTCGCTTGTGTTTTAAGGTGTGGCTATCTAGAAAGAGTCCACCCATTAACAACTGGGCAAAATCACTGGCCTGAACTGGTTAGAGTTGAAACTCCAGCATGCAAACTCCTCCCCTCAACCAAGCATTATTAAAAATTCAGATTCTTAGGCCTCACTATCGGGAATTCTGATTCAGTTTAACAAGGTGGAGCCAGAGGACTTCATTTTAAACATTATTCACAGGCGATTCTCGACAAAGACCATCTACTCTGGGTAGAGGTGAAAAGATGTATTCAATCCCAGTAGGGATCAGAGGTGTCATTTTTCTGTGGAAACAGGCCAGCTTGCTCCGGTCTGCTGACAGGAGGTGCCGTTTTAACTTTATCTGTTTGGTTTTAATTTTGTATTGAAAAAAATATCTAAATGAAGTATCTTATGCAACATTTTCTAGTTCTGTCACCTTCAGAATGTTCCTGAACCTTCAAGTCTCTGGTCTTTTATTTTAAAAAGTGAAGAAGGTAGTAACTAATCCTTGAAGTTTAGGGAAGATTAGTAGATATTAGATGAGCAGTGCCTATTGCATAATTAGCACTTGACAGGAGCTGACTATTAAACATCATAGTCATAGCTAAAGGCAGAAGAGAAGGGAGGGATAAGAAGTCACATAGACAAATCTATGCTTGGACAGAATGTCACCTCAAAGAAAAAAGATCTAGGGAGGGCTATAAGCCAATAGGTTTTGAAAGGAAACCAGTGCGCCTAGCATTGTGTGCAATGATAAAAGATGTAAGTACTGAGGATTGATACATTCCAAGTGAACGGACTAAAGCCCATGTGGCCCTCTTTCTAAGAAAGTTCAAAAGATAATTGCCTCCTGTGATACCAAGAGTAGCAGCCTGGGGCCGTAGTGTGGTATTGGGGTCAGGACAAGGTAAGAAGTCAGGAGGCCTAAATGCTAATTCTGGCTGAGATCCTGCATCTGGAGAATTGCATTTATGAAGAGCACATTCCTAAACAACTATGTACTAACGTACTAGTGAGTTCATAAAAATACTTTCATGCATATTATTGCTGACTGTGTAACAACAACTTGCAGGGAAGTTCTTGTGTTGTGAGGGACAGATTCAGAGCGGCAAAGTGGGTTGCACAAGGTCACACAGCTAGAGATGGAAGGACTGGATTTCAAACCCAAGGCTGCCCTGCATTGCTTCCTGATATTGTGATTTTTCTAATTCCTGCCTCCATTCCAACACTGGTAATGTGCCCTGCATTTCATATGTAGGGATTCTACCCAGACCACAACTAGGTGTTTAGAAGAGAGACAGGGAAGCAGTTAGAGAACAACACCCCAATCTGAGTCTTCTCACAAGTCAGGTGAGACTGCCAGGCTTACCAGACACAGCAAGTCCTCTTTTAAAAACTTCATACATCGTCTTGGCATCTGAGAAGTAGTAGCTTAGGAGTTCATTGCTCTTCTCGCGAGCATTCTTCCGTGCTCCTCCCTAAGACGTAAGACCACATTTAGGGCAAGCCGAGTCTCTCACCACCCTTTCCAAACCTTTATGAATTGAATAGAAGGGAATGTAAACGCTGACCATTGAGGTTACAGGGACTCCCCCCCCTCCCATCCTATTCAATCAATCAAGTCTTTAATCTCAAAACTGAAGTCTCCACATCATAGAAACCCAGAGACTATCACAGTTATTTTTTGAGCCATCTCCCACCACCCTTCTAGAACACACACACACACACACACACACACACACACACACACACAACACACATGAGAAATGATAATGTAGGTTTTCTTGGTTGGTTTTTGCTTTGTTTTACCTTATATCTCCCCAGGAAAACATAGCACTATTGAGTGTCTGTTACAGAGAACTTCTATCTTAGGTCACAGCATTAAGAGTCCCTGGTTTTGATCCTACAACCTCTCTTTGAAATGATCTATATAATATTATGTTTTATCCTTTAAAAATTCATACCAAGTTTAGACATCTATGAAATTCATACTGTGTTCTAGACACTATAGATGCAACATAAGTTAAGACAAAATTGCTGACCATGAGCACCTCATAAGTGAAAGCTTTTGGAGTGTGGGGTAAGAAGGGAAAACACACACAAATATAATACTGTGATGTACATGCTGAAATAAAATATATTTGGGAAACTAATGAAGACACCCATTCTGTATTAAGTAAAAAAGCTAGAGAGAAGAAGTGATATTTCAATGGAAACTTTAAAGATAAACAAGCATTGAACAAGAAGATGTGGATTGGTAGAGGGGAGAGAAGGATGATTCAGAGTGAAGGAGCAGCCTGAACCAAAGCACAAGGGCAAGAAAACACACTGCAGAGCCTGGTGGGCAGCCAGAGAACAGGGTATTTGAGAAAGAGGGAGTGGCTAGGGATGTGTTTAGAAATGTCAGCTGGAACTCCAGGGCGTCATGTGGATCTTGGAGCTGCACTGGAGTTACAGGCATGGTCCAACCCTCATGAAAGTTAGTCTAGAGAGAAGCAGGCATCAATTACATAAGCACAAAAAAGGGGCCATTCAAGTGCAGGCTAACACATGATCTCTGAATTGTCTAGAGCATTGGAGAAGATTTCCACGAGATGTCGCATTAAGTCAAGAGGTTAAAAAAAAGGTTTTGGCTAGTAGAGGAAGATAAGGTCTTGCCATCGGTTTTCAGAGATGGGCTGAGGAAGAAGGAACAATGAAAAGTGATTTGGATTCAACTTTAGGCAACTGGATAAGAAGAGATGCATTTAACTACAATGGAGCAGGAAGGGAAACAGGAAAGGTTATGGGGTGTGTGTGTGTGTGTGTGTGTGTGTGTGTGTGTATGTTTAGGGAGATGATATGCAATAAAGAGACTCATTGACCTTGAGGTACTTGAGTGTCACTGAGGTGGACTGGAACTCAGGGGAAAGGTCAGAACTTGAAAGTCAGATTTGGATGTCATAGCCTTTTAGGTATAGTTCCAAGTCATAGGAGAGGGAGGATTTTCTCAGATGTGAGGAATTAAAGCAGGGAATGGCAGACTCTGATCTGAACTCACATCTGGCCTGAACCTGCTTTTACAAATAAAGTTTTATTGGAACAGAGCCATGTTCATTCAATTGCATATTGTCTGATGCTTTCACACAACAACAACAGAGTTGAATAGTTGCAACAGAGCCCATATGGCCTGCAAAGCCTGAACTGTCTGGCCTTCACAGAACATGCGTGCCGACCCCTGCTTCAGAGGAATGAAGAGATGGTGATGCTGAAACTCTAGGCTGAGAAGAGGAAAAAACCTCAGAGGCAAAGAAAGGCTGTCTTGGAATTAGAAAGAAATTTCATTGAAGGTTATGAAAGGCAAAAAGAGAAGTTGTAAAAAGAAGTCCCAAATCAATTGAGAGGAAGGTCGAAGGAGAAACCATTGAATTTGGAAGTTAGATTATGAGTGACCCAGAGAAGTTTGGGGAGATGGTAGTAGTAAAGGTCTGACATCAGTGGGTTGGAGCTTAAATGAGGAAATCAACAGACTACTCTTAAAGAACTCTGGTGGAAAAAGGAAGGAGTGGAAAGAGATGGTAGCCTGAAGCAGCAGGATCAGTGGGAGAGGACAATCATACAAATGCACCAGAATAAAAGGGAACGTGGTGGGCAGTGCAGTTAACTCTGAATAAGAGTCTCACATAGAGGAAAGAAGTTCAATAAAATATCAGAAGGGGGTTAGCTTTACAAAGGAATGGGAATGCTTTCTTTCTCTGAAAAGGGTTGAAGACGAAAAATGACGAAGAGAACATTCTTAGAGCTTTCCCTTTGCTCAGTGATATAAGAAGCTGTATGATTTGGTGAAAGTTGGGGGAATTGAAGGGAAAGGTTCAATTTCTGCCTGTTTTAAGAATGAATATTAACTCAAAGCTGGAATTTAACTAAATAACTCACATTCCATTTTCAGACATTGGGTATCTCAATGAAAATATTCTCCTAGCCCCAAAGTCCTGACTCTGTCATCTAGATCAGCCATTTTAAATCTTTTCATCTCATGGCACACATAAACTAATTACTAAAAAATATATTTTTGGCTGATTTGACAAAAAATATAGGTATAATATTGACTCATTCACACTGGATGGCTATTGTTGTGTTGGCTGTTGTCATTTCTTTTTATATTTGACTATCTAAGGGAAAAGAGGTCAGTGGCACTGACTAAGCAATCAGGTATGGTGTATAAAAAAAATTCTTGCACCACACCAGTTCAAAATCACTGCTCTAGATCATACGTTGGCAAACTTTTACAGTAAAAGGATAGATAGTAAATAGGCTTTGTGGAACACATGATCTATTCCTTGTTTTAGTTTTTACATATCCCTTTAAAAATGTAAAAACCATTCTTATCTTGCTAGGCCCATTTGAAAAAGGGTGGATTTTCCTTGTGGGTTGTAGTTTGACAACCTCGATCTGGATTACTGGTGTCTTAAGACCTAGCTGAGTTTTCCTTTTTATTATGAAGGAAAATGTGTCATTAGTAGAAGTTTAAATGTTGACTACTAACCTAAAAGGATTACTTTCCCATGTGACACCCTACCCACTTCATGAGTTATACCAATGTCTTGAGTTACACACAGTTTGGGTTTGACCAATGTTGACACACTGAAAGGTGATAGGTAAGTTAGTTACCTCGATTCCCAGGGACTGGTGGTTCAGATCAACTGCAGGCAGAACTGGGCGAGGTCTGTTGACGAGCCATAGGAAGATGGCGACTCCAAAAGTCAGGAGGCAGATCAGTGCCGGGGTTGGAAGTGGGGAAAACAAGAAGTTAAAGATAAAAAGCATCTTTGCGAATAACAGCAGGAAATGCAGGCCTAAAAAAAAAAGAGAGAAGGAAACAAAAAGTTAGAGGAAATGGCTGTATCTTTTTACTCAGTCCTTCTAGGTTTATAGAAGGACACACACACACACACACACATGCACACACACGGCTTCTACTCCTCCAAAAAGCCAGGGTTGGACCTCTCTAGTAGCAGAATTTATTTTTCGCTTTGCACTGTTTCCCTTAGCAATGTTGAAGATAATAGAATGTGTTCTACTGTACCCAGCTGCTACTTGACTGTCCTCCCACAAGGTGGAAAGGATCAAAGGAAACAAGTTAATCATTCCCAGACAATTTTGAGGAATGACTCTCCCTTTATTTCTGGCCCACAAAGCCTAGAAGCAGCCTTCTGGACCCAACATAAGCTGGCAGTCAGAGGATAGTGCTTCAGAGAGCTTCCCTTTGCCCAGGCAGGCGAGGGTCAAGAAGGACCCTTCCGGCTGGATGTCTCTAGTATGAACCAAATGGCAGAGGAAACCTCTGTAGAGGTGAAACCACAGATTTCAGAAATCAAGAGCTCCACATGAAGGACATTTCCTGCTGGCCCGATATGCCTTGCTCATTGCTTTCTGTCTTTTTAAAGCATCAGGAGGGGCTTACTAGGTCCAATGTACTGTCCTCTGAGGATTCTGGGGGACACATTTTTTTTATTGGAGGCCGCATAATCAGGTAGGCAGAAAGGGTGCTGGAAAATGGGCCTGGCACATGGTGGCAGGTGAGCCCGGGAGATTTGGGCCAGGAAGAGATCTCAAGAAACCAAGAGCAGCAAAGCCTTCTTCCAACACATCTTTTATTATCGCTCCCAGCCAAGAGGAACAGCTTGGAACTACGCTAATAGACGGGACTAAAGTCTGGGCAGGTCCTAGGAACCAACTCCTGCCTCAGACCTTTCACACTGATGAGAATAGTAATGCAGCAAACACAGGAGCACTGACTTGATGCCAAGCCCTGGGCTTGTAACGGAATGAAAGGCACTGGACTCCACCTAGTTCAAGCCTTTCTTGTTCCCTGGCCTTCCCACTAAAAGCTCCTGCTTTGTCTTGCATATAGATATGGTAATCATCAGAGGAATTCTGCTTGGAGCTTGACATTTAGGAAAACAGCCCCTCTCATTTCCCCTTCCTTGACATAAAAGAAGCCTGAACTCTGCACTTTCTTAAGATGGATTTGAGGAACCACCAGGTCTCCCATCTTCTCAGTTGGCACCTTCTTATCAATCAAACTTTCCTCACCCTGAACTCTGATGTTTTGAATTTTGATGGTTCGAAGTGTTGGACCCACAGATTTTGGACCAATAACAGGATAAGTTGTTTGCATGAATTACCTAATTTAATCTGACCAATGTCCTAAAGTAGCATTTTTACAGACAACAATATAGAAGTTCCCAGGGGTAAAGTGACTTATCCAAGTTCATTTACCATTTTCATTGCTGCTTCCCCATTAAAATCTATAAAACCACAACTCACGGTTAGAACTCTCAAGTTCAAGCTGACTGATTTGTCTGGCAGCTTACAGGTGACAGCAAAGGACGTTCAGAATTTGCATTCCTCAAAGTTTACTTCAATGCCCTATGAAACAGTATCTCACAGATGAGGCCAAACATTCACTTTTCAAATCACAAGAGCAAGGCAAGTCCAATAAAACGTTTTATCAGATCAAGATAATCATTGCCCTTTGAACCATGGGGCAGCTGCCATTTGCTGTCATCCAAAACGTTTTCTATCAAGGAACACACTCACTCTGTGCTAAGGCTGTAAAACTTAGGAATTTGGTGTGGGAGTGAGAACAGTCCCAAGAAACCCTGAGTCACTCATCATTTATCTGCCCCCTGATTGGTTATCACCTGAGTTTGGAGTAGTCCCTCTCCATTTTATGGAGGAAAAATGAACTTCCAGAGACTGGGATGACAGTCTCCAACTCCTTGGGTTCTTCCACATTGTGTGTAGGGGGAGGAAAAGACAACAAAGCAAGAACAAAAGCAAGGCCCCACAGGTGCTACCTTATGTAACAATAGGTGCTATTGTGACTACCTGCCAGGATTCTGAGAGCAGGGATTTCTTGAATCCAGCCTTACCTGGACTTGTGTGCTGGGTGGCTCTCCAGGAGGTAGCACCTGTTCAAGAGCCAGCCATACAGAACACAGTTCTAAGGCCGGCCACCCCAACTGAGACGGGCGCAGACGGGCGGGTTATGAAATTGACAGAGCAGAAAGCAGTGCCAAAGGGAGGAGAAGCCTGCTCTGCCTTCGCCCATCCTGCCCACCGTCAGCCCCTCCCCTCAGCCTGGGACATTGCCACCAGTCCCGTAGTGTCTTATGCTCCAGGATCCTTCTCTCTGCCCCAATGCCCGTCCAATTAAGAGGTTCTTACCTGCACGCCCCCTTCTCAGCTATGAGAACACATTGTTGCACTGAGGACTTTGCCCTCTTCCTACAGATGGCAGATTCAGTGGGAGACTTGGCAAACAACGGCTTTAAAAGAGGGTCTAAAGGTGAAATTTATGTTCAGCTGTGGCGGTATGGGATGGGGGAGGGAGGGCCAATAGCCTGGCAGGTAGCATAAAGGGAGGGGGGAGAGAAGGGGGACAGGGAGAAAGAGAGAAAAGGGGAGAGGGAGAGAGGGAGAGAGGGAGAGAGGGAGAGAGGGAGAGAGGGAGAGAGGGAGAGAGGGAGAGAGGGAGAGAGGGAGAGAGGGAGAGGGAGAGAGAGAGAGAGAGAGAGAGAGAGAGAGGCAGTATCTGCTGTCAACCTTGACTGATGGTTATCATGTAGTAATATCAGCTTGAGGTCACCAGATGGTCAGATTTTCTTTTTCTCCCTAGTAAACCTGTAACACTGGATTTTTATGAAACCTCCATTTTAACTCTTGGCTCAAATGGTAAGTGTCTGGTTTAGGATTAACAAAAACACATTTGCTTTAACCTGGACTGTAGTCCACCAATGAGCAATTCTGTTAGACATTCCAGTCATACTGCCCATGAATGGAATGAGACTGACCACTTCCTCACAAACAGGGGAGGTGTTATGAATGCCAAGACCGGCTTCAGGAGAACAGCAGCACCTTGCCTGCACTGGATGTCGGGAGCCATTGAAGGATGTCTCTGTGTAGCACCTGTAATAGTGTGCTTTCCTATTACTGACCTGGTATCCAATTCAAATAGGATCGGTTCAGACTTTCAGCCGGTCTCTCCCTGCCTCCCCACATTTTTAAAAGTTGAGGTAGAATTTGAGTAACACAGGATTAATAATTTTTAAATGTACAATTTAGGGACATTTAGTTCATTCATAACTACCATCACCCCATTAGAGGTGTACAACCATCACCTCTAATAAACCCCAAAATATTGTTATCACTCCAGAAATGACATCCTGTAACACATTAAGCATTCACTCCCCATTCTCTTCTCCTCCCAGAGCTCAGGAACCTCAAATTTACTTTCTGCTTTTATTGATTGGCTAATTCTGAATATTTCATAGAAATGGCATTATATAATATGTGACTCTTTGTGTGTTATTTCTTTTACTCAGGATAATATTTTCAAGATTTATCCATGTTACACACTGACAGACTTCAGAGAGGAGGAAGGTAGGGGAATTGGAAGAGATTAACCAAAGAACATATATGCATATATGCATAGCCTGTGGACACCGACAGTTATGTGGTCAAAGCCTAGGGTATAGGGGTTGGGTAGAGGTGGGCAAAGGAGGACATCTGTAATAGTGTCAATAATAAAAAAAAATATTTAACCATGTTATGTATCAGTTCTTCATCCCTTCGTATGGTTGCTAAATTAGCCCATCTTTTCATTTGCTTATTGGCCATTTGCATTTCTTTTGTAAAGAAATGTCTATTCCAGTCCTTTGCTGATATTTTAAAATTGGTTGTCTTTCTGGTTTTGCGTTGTAAGAGACCTTTATGATTTACTAATATTTTCCCCCATTCTGTGGTCTTTTCACTATCTTGATAGACTTCTTTTTAATGCACTGAACACATGTTTTTAACCTTGTAATGCTACCCACCGCTAGGGAGGATTTGTGCCCGTCATGTAACTCTCACTATAATTGGGAGAAACAGAGGGCCTGAGAGAAGGTAAGACCTTCAGGTTGGGTTACGCCATCCTGACTGGGAAGCTCAGGTAACCATTCCAACCTTTAGAAATTGTTAACATATATGTGCTCAAATGAATGAGGGGAAAAGCCACCATTGCTTGTGTTGTGTGTCCTGTGTCACTCAAATTACAATTCTGTTTTGGTCACTTCACAGAATGCCCTGCAAGCAATTGGTGAGATAGCATTTCCTCTTCCCTTTTGGTCACTCCTAGTTGGGAAAGTGTGGGTAGGGAGCAGTGCAATAGTGGTAAAGAAAAGAGGAAAGAGAGTTCTGTTTTGCTCTATCTTGGAGTTCCTGTTCCAAGTTATCTGAAGGTGGTGAAGCAAGCCACAGTGCGTGTTAGGAAGGTCCCAAGTGGAAAGCTTCCTCCACTCTGATGTGGTCACAGTGACATGCCTCGGACCCACATCCCTGGATGCCAATTTGCCGCCAGCCATTCCCCTTGATTCACTCCAGAGCCTTCCGTTGTCCGGTAGTATGGATGGCCATAGCCATGTCACTCATCTTCTGGCACCTATCATATTTAATTCCCGAGCTAGCTGAAAGACCCCTGAGCAAGCTCCCAGGGCCAGCCTTGGTGTCTAGGTTATGATCACCCCATATTCAGCTTTGGGTTTTTCTTCTTTGTGGATTTACAACAGTATTTCTTCATTACGTCTAATTTTCTTTGAATAAAATCCCTAAATGGCCCCTTCCACCCTAACATTCAAATTTTGATCAACCATAAGTTCATTTCTACCGTAGAGTTTCTGTATTTACTCTTCCCTTGGCCTGGAGCACTGTTCCCCGGATCTGCAATGGTTACATAGGCTTATAGGTCTGGTCTCAACTCAAATGCCACTTCCTCAGAGGTTTGCTCTGATCACCCTATTGAATATTGCCC